TATCGAAATAACCTACTAACATGTTACATCTCCCTCATGCTATAAAACGCCCCGTCAGGTCGGGTTCATAGCTTTGTAAACGGTGCTTTTAAATGTTATTATTGACTTTGTGACGTGTTGTTTGCTTATCTTGTGTGTCTGAATCTCAGACGGCGATGCCGCCTTGTCGTAAAGTTGGGTATGTGGTTCATTTTTTCTGTGGTTATGCTTCTTAGTAGTGGATTTCTAAAATGGGTCTTATAATAGTCGCCAGTGATAACTATTTCGTTACTACAATAGAAAGTGTGCTTGCGGTTAGTTTTTGTTCTTTGTGAATATTGAGCACTATTGCGTTGCCTATTTGCCCCCAGACAAGCGTTGACTGATTTAAAAATTTTATACAACGTTTTACGTGGCCATATTCCTAGTGACATACAGTGTTGGACCGTGACTTTTTGTTATATAGGTCACACAATAAATGTTTAAAAGAATTTGGGTTTCAGTCAATGCCTGAACCAATGAGAAGTTTGCTGTGGATTCGTTTAGTACACGTATTGTTGGATTGAATTCAGGTCACCCTTATCATAAAAAATGGTTTCCTTCCACTAACGGATTTGAAAAACTAAATGAATATCAATTTCATAATGGTTTATAACTCATTTGCCATGTTCTCGTTTTCGGAGTATCATGAAATTTCTGACAAAAGTGTATGAAACCTGTAAATATGTCACGTCTGTTTCTGTGCTGAAAGTGAACAGAAATCTCATACTGAATACCTAAATTGCGGGGTATAGCGTACAATTAAGTTCTATTATGTCTCATATCACAGCGGTTTGCTTAAATTTTTTATGGCCAATTAGTTCGGTCAAAGCGTTTTGTCTGCGGGCTCCTTAATTATGGACGAGATTTAATGTTGTAAATTGATATTTGAATTTTCCGTACAATTTACCACGTTTCACATGGTAAACCAAATTTAAATATTTCACTATACATTAGTTTGTAGTTCTAACAATGCAATGTATGTTCAGTTGCGAATTTGGATATATTTTACAACATTTTGTTTAGCCAGGCTTTAGAATCTATATTCGTTAATTTACTTGAAATGCGATCGTTAACATGCTACGTCAATTAATGGTTAGCATTACGGTCGTATCGTGTTTCGTCGATAATCCTGTCCTCTCACAATTTTAATGGCTAAATTAGACCCAATTGGATACTCCTACTCGTGGTTTCAAGCGGTGTTAGGCTGCTGTAATATCCATAGAGACGTCATATTTTTTTCGTTCAAAAATATTCATTACACTCGCACAGCGAAGTGTGTTGGTTGTATTTCTGTTGTAACCGGCATAGCAACTGCCCGACTTTTTATGTCTCAAAAAAACAGACGTCGGCGATGAAGAAGACATTAGAATGTAGTAATTGAAAAATAATTCAAATGATAACGATTGGAATATTAATATAATATATGCATTAAAGTGATACAAATTCTTGTCAAAGAAAAGAATTACTGTTGTTGATTACTGATGCAGTAAGTGCCGTAACGATATATTATAACATGATTGTGAGCGAGATACGCGTTGCCGGAGATCATCTGACACGATTATTTTCTCCACGGCGGAGTTCGGATATTAATCATATCATGTTTATCATTGACAAAATTGGATGGAAAATACATTGACGTCACCCAGGTTGTGCACTCTCTCAAAGGAAGTCAGTGCGGAAATTATCAATTGGTTGTTGCGCATTGCACTATTTCAAGCTGAGGATTGTGGTGTTGTCTTGCATGATGCAATTATTTCACCGCAATAGAATGAAAACAGTGTTGGCTCGTATTTAGATAAGGAATAATTTGCCAATACTGTATGCTTTGCCCATATCACTCTTTAGGGTTCAAAATATACTTTCTTGGCAATTTGGCCTTTTAACTGGAGCAGTGCGATCATTAGCTAGATCAGAGATAAGAGTCGACAGGTTGTAAGGATCAGGTAAAGTGGTCTAAGGAAGGTCGACGTACGGCGTACTGGTTTTTGTATGTTATAAACCTTACCAACATTAAAACGTGATAACAACATGGTGATAGAAACCTTGGCCGACGGCCGGTTTCGGAAAAAATTTTATTAATTCCAACTACTGGTACAAATATCGAGTAAAAATTTTACGCTTACTCAAAAGAATAAACTCCGAGGTTTCTACCCAAATTTCTACCGTAATAGATTGAAGATAGCATGTTTATGAGCCGCAGTTTAAATCCAATAAATATACACATGTGTGTAATAAAACGTTTTGGTGTAGATGTATGCAATATTTTTGTGCGCTGGGGCGTCAGTCTCTGTTAATTTCAGGGTTACGTCATGCATAATATGCGCAGTTAATGTAGCCGAATCGAGTTAGTTATCATAAACAATTTATGTCACGTATGCAACAAACAGATAAATTAGTAGAAATTGTTATATACGTAGCAAAAGTATATCGAGGATTGAAACGTCAGGTGAATAAATAGAACAATCACACTAATATCCTCATTATAGGTGAACGAAGCTTGCAAACCAGTCATCAAGATAAATCCTTTGTTCGCTGAGTTTTCTTAAGCATGCCCTTGTCGGACGACATGACAGTTGGACATGTTTTGTGTCGTTTTCCTTGCCCAAACTCGTATGTTGAAAAGATCATCTTCAGAAAATTGTCGGTAGATCTGAGTCTATCATTTGAATTCGCTTTTGAGTAAGACCTGTCGTAACAGACTTGAAAAAATGAAGAGCGAGGAATATAAATAGTTCTTAGCAATTTAGACTGAAAAGGGGCTCGGAGAAGTATCGTCTTGTATTAACATAAGATAGCTCATGCTTTGGATATACCGTGAGAATAGTATAGATAGTGATATAGATATATAGGGAGAGCTTGTCAATTGCTAACGTGGGATAAATTTATTGAATCGAAAATATGTATTAGAATGTTTTAAAACCCTTTTAATATATACTTATTATTTAATTGACTTGAAAAGAAAGTGTGAGATACTGCGAAACGTAAGAGAAATCTGATTTTTCTTATATACGTGTAGATAAATACGCAAGTCATATTACGCTCTTCGGCACAGTATAATTGAATTACATTTCCGCGCATGGATTGTTGCATGCATTATCGGCAGCGGGAGACAATCAGACAGTTTTGAATTTATTTCTGTCGACAATTCATGGAAAGACAAACAGTTTTTAGAGATGGCCTTTCAAGATTGCCATGTTTTTTCACGGCCCATCTCTTTGTTAACGATAATATTTTTCCTATCGAGAAAATCCTATTAATGCATAGATTTCAAACTTTACAGAAAAGGGGTCGGTTTCAATTTTCTGGATTTGTATACGATTTATTGTTTGTGCATGCGCTTGTGTGCGACATAGTTGGTAGATGTAGTTGTCGATAAATGTTATTAATATAAACCCACGCACTGTTGTTATCTTTGCGTAGAAGATGACAGACAGTAGCTATTTATTTTAGACCAGAAATTTACAAAATTATCCATCACGTGTATCACATAGGCGATGTTAACATTCGATTGACCAACATTCGTGATTATATTTTAAAGTGATACTACGTTCTTACCGTTCTGACGCATCGAATATCTTACCTTCACCTCACGGTCGTGGTTTACTGGCCGATCGATTAATTCTGTCTCGGCAGAATAAGTCGGGGAAATGCTTCAGGCAGATTAATTAATTACCGGTGGTAACGAAATATCCACGAGCGAGCATTCGTTCGGTAAAGGCCCCTGTGTTAACACAGATAAGAAAATAAATGTTTGCTGAGAAGGAAGAACATCTGTCGTTCTCTTCATTTATATCTTATTGTGAAAAGCGGTAAATCTGGAAAAGCGTAATGCTCTGCATCTACGTTAAATCGCTATCTATTTGTGTTGTTTTGATTTATTCATAATTTTTACAATATGATTAATTTAACTAGTATTTAGGCGAAAATCTTTTTGCTCACTTGAAATTAAAAAAAAAAACGAGGGAATAAAATTACAATATTTGCATAATATGTGTCAAATGAAAATTGCGAAATAATCAGAAATCCCATCCATGCTGTAGGGTAATAATTATTAGATAAAATTACTATAGCATTACGATTATCGGGATTATGATATCATATTCATGATTGCGTTTTTCAAATTGACAGTGCTTGTAAATTTCACTGACGCGTCATGTGAACAACGGATGTTCTCACTTGCTTTGTACACCATATACTGACATTTAAGCGTCGTTCAGGTCGAGGTAAATCGATAGCTTTGCCAACAGTGTAGTTTAAAAATCAAATGATTAAATTCATTCAAAAGGATCAATTTATGTCTGGTACCATTCTATTAGTCACGACAGAGTGGGACTAGATGAGCCCATTTTATAAATATTGTCCATATTGTATTTTACTCCGATAATTATTTGAGCATTATCATCAAACAATCAAGAGTTATTTCTGCATTCATGGTACATGTATTCAGTTAAGTCTGAGGTATTTCCAAGGTTGACATTGAAATGATCCCTTGTATCAGTATTTGTTCCCCCAAGCTGACTGTTTTGCAGATATAATTATATAGATTCGCTGTTCTCAAAGTAACCTATTCAAAAAAATAATAATAATTCCATCGCTTACATGTTGCAATCTCTCCTACCAATATAAAGCGAACACAATAAGGATTTTCTTTGAGTTCTAAAATAGATGCTTTATATCCATGTCATGCGTCAATATTTCAGAAAATTTCGGTGAGACATTTTTATCAGCGTAACAACAGTAGCCTACAAGCTTAGAAATACGAAGCAGATCTTGCAAATAGATATTGTGTGTGTGTATAGTCATGTGTGAACACCACCCTTTCATTTAGTTCGTCGAGGTCCGGATGCTGACCGTGATCTGGAAGTAGTTCTACAACGCCAATTATACCATCAAACAACGGGCCAATTATATGTTGTATTCATTTTAATTACGTCTGATTTCTGCTAACATTCCAATCGACGTTGCCGTGGATATTAAAGCATTGTTTCTTTTTAGACCAGTCCATAGACCGTTAGGATAGGTACGAAACTATAAAGAACTATAGGAATCTATTTGCTTGTACTAGTAATTAAGCTACAGAATGCAGAGTATTCAAAGTCGAATGAAAAGCCGGAAAAATCCTAGGTGTAGGTGAAGCAGCTGATGGTCAACTACATAGGTCAAAGGTAACTATACTGCTTTTGATGCATTTTTTTGCATCAAGTACACATCGCACGAAATGATTCCATCAGAGCCATGGCCTGTCAAATATTCGATTTGTTCCATATTTGCCAAGAAACGATCAATGTATGTATAAATCTTATATATGTCTAAATGTAATTCGAAATGTATGGGAACGCTGTGTGGAACTAAGTTCTATATAAATAGCTCAGAGAAGACAAATAGCCAACACTTATGCAAATGTGTGAACACGTACATACTCAAAAGCGAAGCCATGTCAAAGATAAGTTTTATGTGCCGCGCATGTCCTCAGTCTCGAAAAAAGAAAAATCAATTTATATATATAAATTCAAAGTTAACGAATATTTTATATGAACGTACATGGATACTGCGTCTTAAATTGTACCTTTTTGTTTTCGATATCCGTCTAGTCGGTAAGCATAAACACCAAATATCCGTTAACAGGATATTTAAACATTTTGATATCCTAACCTCGTTTCAAACGCTATATAACTAAGAATTGTTTAACATACTTGTATATTAGTATATCTTTACTAATTGGCTATTTTAAATAATTCGTGGCGTGGTGGCGGCCAAAAATCTATTGGGTCCATTCCACGACGCAAGAGAAACTGAATCACGCTACAGTGTTCCCATATCATATTATATGACGCGAAATGAAGGAGTATATTTACTTGCGTGGCGTTCCAGTAGATAACGCTTTTGTGTGGAATATATATAATCGCTAAAAGTTCTTTTCAATCACCAAGTCCAGTTTTAAAAATATTGATAATAAATGTTAAATCTGACGTATTTGGACAGAAATACGCAAATCGGTGTTCATAAAGTCCCTTTACAATTTCAATTTTGTTATGAAGTCATTTCTCAATATATCTTAACCAGGTTCGTTGTTTAATAATCAGTAATTGTTCAAATATTTTTACTTCATTTATTACATCTTTGTAGGCCAAAACAATATATATATATGGTATCGATAAAATCCCTTTGCAATTTTAAAAATTCTTAAGATTATATTTTTGGCTCGGTTGTGAGTTGGTTATTTTCAAATACACTGTAATTGCATAGGTCTTAAATACCTGTTAAAAAACGTAATGTGGATCCGTAGGGTTGTAGAAGTAAAAGTAAAAATAATGCTTTCGTCGACAGATAACACAAATTCTTGGAAATGATTCTTTGACGAATTGGCAGATTGCTCGAGCAGAATATCCAGTAGGTCTTCAAGCATTACAGTGGTTATCTTGTTTATGGTTTTCTGTCATTGGATTGGTAAGTAAAACCTACGATATATATATATATATATATGACATCATACTTGGCCGCAGATTCCAAGTTTTCAGATTTTCCCATCGTCATCATGATAATGTCGTTTGAGCACGTTGACACTAAGGTGGAAAGGAATTGAAATATTTTGAGTATTTTCCACTACACAACCCGATGGTTTAAACGTTCGGAATTATCGAAAAACTATTGAAATTCATGATTATATATTTTTTTAAAACTTTGGTAAGCACTGGGGATATCGTTCTATGATGGGAGTTTTGTGCTGCTACATCAGGCAGGCATTATCTGGGAAAGTTCCCAAATTAAACTGAATAATTCAAAATTTGGCAGATCAGTCTGTTTTCTCCTGAAAGTATTTTACCGCCTACTTTACTGAAATCGGTCGACATTTCAGAACAAGATGCAACCCCCAACAGAGAATTATTAGTCGGAATGCGACTATCACTAGTAAGTAATTATATTTAATTATTAAGTCATAATATCACCTGATTTGTAAATTACTCCATATTATAGGTCCACATTTATAGCGTGAAATTACAAAAATTGTTATGTCACAATCACATTCAACTCTCCTAAGTGGACCTAAGAGATATGGAAACTATTACGTTTATGCAGGGAGAATATTTTAAAGTCCTTGCATAATAATACACGCTTCAGAGCTAAAGGTCATATCAACGGTCTAAAAGGTTTCCTATAACAGCCTTACTACCAACAGAAGCGTGCTGTTTCATTGAGTTGTATTCTATTTCACAGATTTCAGGAACTCGTCTGTACGGTGCTGCCATGGTGGCTTTGGCATCATTATGTTTAATCGTCACCTTAGCTAATTGGCAGAGCCGACGAGCAATCAGAATCGCCCTTCTGGTTCAAGGAATATTCTGTACATCTGAAATTCTAGGTAAATAAAAATAACAATCAACAGATTTCATATTGTGGCCTTGAGATATCGAAATCAATAAAATATTGTCTTTCCGCGTTCTTTTCTTTGCCCATCAATTAGGGCAGGGCTTCCCAACCTTTTTATTCAAGTTCAATTATCTTCTGTCTTAATAGAACTATTTAATTTTAGTGTAATCTGTATTTAACCATATTCAATTTTGAACTGCCAGTAAGATATATATGCCTGTAGCGCTTGCTTGTTGAGTTTGAGCTTTTCTTTTCGTTTGGTTCGGGTATTAGGTTTGCATATTCATTTCGATTCCAATTTCGAATGTTTTATGATCGAAGCACTTAAATTTGTGTGGCTATGATAGGTCTATTCAATTGTTCCCCTTTTCAATTCAGAACCCTAGAACACCTCGCATGGATTGGGGCGGTTTTGTCACACTGCTGCCCGCTTTACCAAAAAAAAGTTTTTTTCAAATAAATTTAAGCTTTTAATCCTCTAACAAAATTAATCGGTAAAAATACTAATAGTAGTTTCAGTGAGAATCTTGTGGCTGTTTGTTGTTCACAAGCCCCGAGATCCAATTTACCAGTAATCCAACAGGTGCTCTTTCGTTTATCTAACAATATATATATGAAAAGTGCAAAGCTTTGATGAAATGTACTCGTTTATTATAATTTGTAGTTAATTTGTGGACTACCTGTAAGAGCGCTGTGGACCCCGTTGGGAAGCCCTAAATTAGGGGGAGACAATCAGTAGATTATTTTGGCAATTTACCTAAAGTGGCAATACACGATTTAGCCATCACACAATATACATCTCAATGCAGCAAATACATAACATTTTAACCATCTATTGCTTTCCAGCTTCATTTTTGTCTGGCCCTTCACATTGGGATCAAATTAGTCGACATCCACTTATTTGCTGCACAATTCGCATCTTAGTCAGCGTTGCTTCATTCTACTATTTCAAACAAACCAGACCCTGCACACATGGAATCATGAAGAGAGCATCGGAATAAGTTTCAAATATGCAACCGAAACTGAGATATCATAGCATGCTCAACGTCAAAACTCAATCATGAAATAGTTGTATTTACCTCGATAACGACTTACGTGGCGGCAAGCGGAAATACAACTGAAAGTCAAAATGTTTCGAGACCAACGTTATGGGAAGTAATCGATTGCTCGATCGCCAACTATTTCCCAAACATTTTCACAGACTTGGAATGGAAAATGAGTACCGGCGATAAACTCCATCGCATTACACATCTCTCACTTTCGAAAAAGCCTGCCGTCTTCATGACCACGTATACCCGTATTGACTCTTCTCAAATTTTTGATATAACTTTGCTGTGCAATTTAAACCTTGTAATATCAAATACTGCACATTGTTTGTGTGCATAAATATTTCTATAAATAGTCTCGGTATAAAAATCAGTTATTCGACAGGTGGGTATTTAATAACACAGTTCATACAGGCAGGAGATGGAGCAGTTTTCCGACCAAATGAACTAAAATCAGATTACGTATAGTGTGATATTTTGATGGAAAAATATACTAGTCATTAGAGAGGCTTATATGGAATATATACACCAGTATAGGAGTGAAATATTTATAACGTGTTACGGACAGCTGGCATTTAGCGGTAATTTGAGGTGGCGACCGAAAAGCTGTTTGAAAATGATTATTCGAAAAAAAAAGAATTGTGACAGAATTAGGTGCCTGTATAATTTGGTGCCTGTAAGTTCTACAAGCAATATTCAGTGACGCCATGGTTAATAATAACTGCTTGGAATGAGCTTTAAAAATGCAATCAAAGTGAAACAAGCAATAACTGAACTGCTTCATCGTAACGCCTCATTTGTTGGACAAAAGCTCCAGATGCGGGTGACTCAATGGTCATAAAGTGCTCGACAAATCCGATAGAGTTAATAACATAATGATGGAAGCCATCATAAGTATGGTACTATTCATTAGATATCAATATATTCGTTCCTTTTTACTCGATTTGAGCAATAAAATCTATTTATGTAACCAAATTATAGCAAGCACTTATATTTAAAAATAACTCAAAAATGTAATATGTTTTCGCTATTGAAATGTCAATCCTATTTAAAAACTAGATTTGATACATTCAACAATATTTTATTGGGCGGTGACTATGCAAAAGTCAGTAGGATTATTATAGTTTATCACTCCAAAACTTTTCGAGGTATTAAATGTATGCTTGGTCGCCGATGCACCGCGGTCCGCTATTAGTTTATGGAGGATTTACGCATAGTCTACATTCTATAATAATTTTGCCATTGAAACATAACCGATGAAAGCGAAACTAAAGTAACGTTAGAAAACAATGTAATATGATATTCTTTATACTGAGTGCTTTATGCCGATAAGGAAGGATGAGCGAAGAATTCATATATCATACCATTTCTATATTTAATGACAACATAAGAAAGCGAGAGCCCATAGAATATGTTCAATAAGAATCGATCCGATTCAAAGTAAACAATGGTTCAATTTAGTTTAACTTCCCTGTATAATGCATTAGAATGGAATTGCAAAGTTATAGCTGTTACCAGAATGGTTTTAAAATTTGAAAATCGATATCGTAAACGCGTGCGTAACTCATGCAAGAAGCAAAAAAAAAAGGAATATTGAATAAAATCGCCCCCAGCGATATCAAATAAATATCGAATTGTGGGCTTAAATTAAAATTAATTGCTTCTAAATTAATGGTATGCTTCCATTATCCCATATTTATTGATGGTATCTTAATAAATATGAAGATATATATGAAAAAACGATGAAATAATTGTACATCATAGATAAAAGAGAGATGATGTTGAGGTAAAAGATCTTTTCATTCAGTTTTCATCATCCATTCAGTAATATCAAAATATATCGCGTCATAATTTCTTTTTTGTTGTTTGCTGAAAAAAATGAATGCGTTATTATTACGAAATTCGGGATTCCCTCCCTATTTTTAACGTCTTTACGAGCTTCCAAACTATTGTAGCCGCAATAGCGAAGGTGGAACCAATGCCCGCGGAAAACAAGTCCATGCTAGACCGGACTTGCGTTACCATTAACTTCAAATTATTTAATTCGGTCTAATAAATCAAAAGTCAGTAATAAAAAATAATAATTATTTATACCTCAAAAATCAGCCTGTTTTAATACATGAAAAATCCGATTGAGGTTAACTTCATTTTTTTAAGACTAAAAATCACATAACTATAAAAATATATTAGCCAACTCAATTTTTTACCTGCTTTGCACTAAGATATCTTAATAACGGAGGTACAGGTCTTTTAGCAAGAGCAGGGGTAGTGACGAATGGTTTTTCATCCGAACCTCCATCCATATTAAGAGAAAGAGAATTCATTGCCACTATATCCTGGCGAGGCACTCCTGTCGAATCAAATTATCGGTTCAGAATAAATATTAAAATATTCTACATGCAAACATACCCAGGAAACATGTAAAAACAGCAATTCATAAGTTTAGAATAACAGGGCAGATTTTAATCGGGACAAAGCATTTCTCGTAGTCCGGTTGTCAACCCACGGGATATCCTGATATTCGAGACTACCTACTGACTTCAATGACAAATAGCTCGAATAAATTTCTTTATCTACCAAACTATAAATCTTATTTGACACATTGACCGAACATAAGATTGCCGCAAAAGAAATTTTCTAATATCCATTTTCTCTCCCCCAAAATCATCAATATTTGATTAAGTGATCAATTCGATTACAAAATCTAAAATAAGTCTAAATATATGGGGGAGATTTATTAATTAATATATAAATTATTTATGGCTTATTTACTTCCAGATTTTTTTTATAAAACTTCGACCGCGTGTTTCGTAAGTACAACAAAAAAACGGTAGTGTTTCGTTTTGTTGGCTTCCTTCACATTAAAAATGTTACAAGTTGGCAAATTGTCTAAGCCAAGATTTCTTATCAAGCGCTATGTCAAAACTTGTCTTTTTTCCAAGAAACTTTATCATTGAAGATTTTGTTGATAAGGGCGAACGTTGACAGTGGCTAAATAATCAATGAGAAACGAGTAAGGTGATGGAAAATGTTTCTTGGTGGGAATCCAGTCTGTTTTGATATACATAGGCTATGTGATTAAGGTCAGTATTTCGTGCAAAGCGTTAGGACCACGCTTGTAATCGCACCGTTGATTATCCCAGGTACGATGTGAGAGAGAATTGCTGGAGTCATTTGGTGGTTCACGAAACTGCTGGCCGATTGTTGATTCCCCATGCGGAACAATTAACTGGTGAATTATTACCATACCAGTATCATTGTTATTTTGTAGGTGATGAAAGCCGAAGAGACAGCCCAACCATCGTGGTCCAAACAATCTTATTGGCTTTGCTCTTCCTAAGCACGATGCATTAACCGCAGATCTCGATTTAGACTGGTAAATAGACGAAATAACGTGCGTCACCTTATGATGTCACAATGTCTTACTGTTTCAACGCACGTCTTATCGGCTTTCCGATACGATGGGATAGATGAGCTTAAAATATCCATGATCTTTCAACCGAAGTTACTATCAATTCAACACCGTGGTTCGCCATATGGTTAAGCCGTATAATCTCTTTCCTCTCCCCCGGGATAAATATGATAGTTTATCTATGTAAGGTAAAAAATCCTAAACACCAATATTGAATACCTGTGATAACTTGTCTTTGATGGACATCTATCCATTGTTCCCGGAGTCTTCTTCCATGCTCATTGCGAGATCCAAATCGTATACTTGTGAGTGAATGATTACCAAGTTTCTCTATTGTTGCATTTCCCTGAATGTGCACATTTTTGAGTTTATAGATGAGAGAATGGATGTTTGATACAAAATATCGACTTTGAATTAGGTGGAAGATACATATGTGCAAAAAGCATGCTAGAATCTATTGTTGCATTTCCATGAATGTGCACATTTCTAGTTTATAGATGATAGAATGGGTGTTTGATACAATACATTGATCGACATTGAATTCAGTGGAAGATAATATGTACAAGAAGACTAAAGGAATTTATTGTTGCATTTCTCTGAATGTGCATAATTTTAGGTTTACAGATCGGAAAATGGGTGTATGATACAATATATCGATCTTGAATTCAGTCCGATACATATGTGCAAATAGCTTGCTAGAATGCCTGTTGTTCCATTTCAGAGTACTTCACAATCATAGACCCTTTACCAGATTTCAGACTGAATGATTAGCTATGATTATCATGTTTATAACTTTTGCGCCAGCATATACATAAAAAATCAGTGAATTTACTGTTATATCATATACTATTCACAATCAAGGTAAGCTGCAGGAAGCCAAACATAATGTATATTTCAATAACTCTATCACATACTTGGGAATATCTTCTAATTTCACTTTCATTAGGTGTCGGCCATTTTTCTTCAACAAGTTCTTCAATATCACTGGAACTATGAGCCACAACACTGTTATTAGCATAGTCTGCATTTCTCAGTGTAGTAGGAGAATGTCTTCTACCATATTTTTCTCGAGAATACTCATTAGACGTCAGAGGCTTTATGGAAGTCCCTGCTTTACTTGCATATTTGTCAGAATTTGACCCTAAAAATTACAGCAATAATTCAGAAATGTCCTCATATAAATTCACCTAGAATCCCAGGTAAAAGACAATCTTGGTAATGAAATCCGAGTATTGGATAGCTATCTATAAAAAGCACAGCAAAATTATTGAAAAAAAAAACAATTTTGCCAAACAATGTTAAACAAGCACACTCACAGTTGAAAAATAATAATACAAAATGGGAATAGGTATTTTCCTTATAAAGCCCAGTCTTGACAACATTCCATCATTATATAAACGACACATATAGTATTTTCTAGAATTTTATGTTTATTTGACAGAAAAAGAGTTACATACATTATTATATTGATAAAGGATTCCAAAACTGAGTGCTGGTAAGCTAATCGAGCGATATATTATATATACTTTCCAGAAATACATACCAGGTTCAGTATTATTATACTGTTCTGCAGTTTCATTTTTTTCCTCAAATAAAGTGCTGCGGTACATTAAATTCGCTCTTGGCCGTAAATTAATTTTCCGTGTCCTGCATAAAATGATAAAAGTTAGGTTAAGTTTTAGTAACCTAATATAGATAAAAAATGATCTAATGTTCACAAGTTATGTAGAACGTGATATAATAGAAATAAAAGTCATACCTTTCTTCATTGGTTCTTGGCTCCTCAGCATTCAGGTCATGTTGCTTGTGTTTTGGTGGAGATACAGACGATGCTTTTATGCTAAAAACAAAATATATAATTCATAAAATGTACCTTTTCGACAACACCAAATTTTAGCGGCAGCATCTTCGTTTTTATCATAATGCTTAATGTAATATATCAAGTGTCCAAAGTGTAATCAAAACTTCTTTATTATTTCATTAATGGTCTTTGGAGAATTATATGCCTTATTAAATCATCAATTTTTATCAGGGAATTTCAGAGTCCCTAGTTAAGCAACGTCAAGCTTGGTTGGTACGTGCTTTGGTGACAGTCTCGATATACCGGGTGTCATCGTTTTTTTTTTATTAGTATACTATAATATTAATGGCGCTCCAGAAGTATGTGCACCAAAATGGCGCACAACCTGATAACCTTAACCTGGTTCACATACTATGTTCAGGTTGTGGAACATCATATTAATTTGTAGAGATGGGACGAGTCCGGCATTACAGAGATTCGACTGATCCGAGTAATAGGTCAAGGACTCGAATCAAATCCTCCGAGTCTGTGACGTCACAAAGTAAAAGCAGAGAAACACGTTTTTGACTATGATACAGAATCGTGCGCCCACAAGCATGCATTGTAGCTTATATTTAGCTCAATGGATCGGCAGGTAGCAGTTGAATCATTTTAAAAATATATTTTTCCTTTTTTTTGGCGGCCATATTACAAACGTAAACGTGGGTTAATGTGCACTTGGCTGTGAAATTTTACATGTGAATATGAAAAATAAAAAGCTTCGGACTACAATGCTTTCCCATAATTCCAGATATTTCTAGCCGTAAATTTACTATGACACGTGCGCAAATGGTAGAGAAATGCCACTCGTTGTCAATACAATGTGGTACATCTGCTTGCAATTTAATAGTTCATGTAAACGTTCCAAAACTCTCCATGCTTCCCATTGCTCTCTTTTAAGAGAAAGGATTGAATGTAATAAACTCGATTTAAAAGAGGTATTAATAAATTCCCCCCTGGGTTGATTCAGCGCATGTTTCTTTTATGTGAATCGAAGACTCAAAAACATTGCACTAATTTTATTGTGTACCACATGTATACTAGAAAGGATAGATAGTTTGAAGGCGACTGGCACAACATCATTGTTATCTGGATATCTGTCGTCGTTTTGATTAGGAGTGTTTATAATACACACAAGGGATATTGTTACAGATAAACCCTTGAATTTCAACTAGTTCAGGTATGTACTGAGATTTATAGAGGTAAAAATACAAAGATAGGAGTAAATTAGTAAAAACAGAATTGATTATAGACTCGGTAAAAATGATGTGGACTCAAAATCGAATCCGAGTCCAGAAAACGCGTGGATTCGACCCGAATCTGAGTCCGGATCCGAATCCCGGCCCATCCCTATTAATTTGTGCCATTTGTTTATTTCAATCCAAGTTGCCTTCCTGAATAAATTTTGAGCAAAAACATTGAAGTCTACAAGGCCATACTCGGTCATATTATACCTTGTCTCATCATCCTTTCCCTCTCGTCCTTGTCCCATCAATGATCTTCTTAGTTCTGCAATATTGGCCACAACAGGAGGAACTCTCACGCCATGTTTTAATGTAACCGGGCCAACATTATCTGACATTCCTAAAATACAAAATTATTACAATCAACTTGTCAATAGGATTAGCGTTTGTCATTGATTATTCTGTACTTTTGAATTCAAATATTTCGTTGAGAGATCTTGAAAAACTTATATGATATTCTAATTTTCTAATATATTTAGAAAGTATTAAACACTTATTCAGCTTTAATGCAATAAGAATGACTGAGTTGGAATTATTTTTATTGCAGGGAATAGAGATTTGTGATATATATCCTGACAGTTAGGAATGCTAAAAAGTCGGGTTATGATGAACTACAGTTTTGCCTTGAACTACAAGTTACCAGTGCAGGGCGAGAGTGAAAAAAGTTAGGTAATTAGCTTATTGTCACAGATGCCCTTGGATGGTGGAGAAGGTCAATCATGTATATTACTTTTGCATATAACAAACATGTATGAAACATCTGTAATCCATGTGCTAAGTTGTGTGCTTATATCACAAAAATCGAAGGGTTAAAATAAGAAAGTGACAATTATTACAAAAATAAAAAAACAATTAAGACTTTTGCCATGCATGATATAAAAACCATAGATTACCAAAGTAACTTTCTGTTTCATTGTTTCCCTGATAGTTCTTTGCTCGGTATCTACTGCCATGACCTTCAGCAATTACATTTGTCAGCGCATTTCGTTTAGCAGAAAGAACTCTGAAATTACAAATACAAAGTCAGGTTTAGACTATGTTGATAAACAATAAAAGACCTGTATCCTACTATCATATTTTAAATATTTACTAAATCGGAAAAATGCAACCATATATTAGAGTCAGCATTTTGATTTATGTACTTCAGTATCGAATATTGGTAATATATTGGTAATATAGAAATTGGTTAGGATTTACATATTTATCTCGGGGAAGGGGAAAGCCTATAAGACGACTTAATCATATATGGTGAACCCCGGCCTCTCGTCCGATTACCAGTTCATGTTCGGTATGAGATTAGTTAGTCAAATATTTGTTTTCAGATGCATGGACTGGGTGGTGGAAGAAGCCGTAACCAACCAGCGGTTACGAGAACCACCCTGCGAAGGCAAAAAGTCCAGCTATCCTCTCGCACATAATTATCGCAGCATGGGATTCAAACCTGCAAACCCATGAAGGGTAATCAGAGATGCGCTGGCAAGCGATTCCTAATGATCAGCATGATGTGCCACACCGCCAAGCCTGGTACATTTAAACAAACATATATAATGGTATTTTTACATGTATTTAAATCTAGTTTGCAACATGCCATCATAAGTGCTAAATAAAATGAAAAAGTGAATAACAATATAATAATAATATAATAATAACAAAATACATGAAGTAAGAGATATAGTAATTTTACAAAATGAAACAATTGACAGTAATACCTTGGTCTTTCTCTTTTTATTGGCTCTGGAGAACTTTCAGAGCTTACTGCAAGAGTTACAAGCTGTTTTTTACCACCCCATTGTTTCGGAAGTTTGTCCAGAGAAAGTTCGTTGGCACCAAAGGCATTCTACATATAATATACACAATAAATACTATTTTGAATAACTGCCAATATTACTCACATAAAATAGTTCAACATTAGAAAGATAGGGTCTACTCCCCCCCTCCAAAAAAAACGAAGTGATAACTGACTGAAACTATTTTGGTAAGTATTCGAAAACGGAAATATTTGCCCAAATATGCCACACTTAATAACTTTAGGACAGGGTAATTTTTCACCTATTTTGTGCACTTGGATAGTTTAAATAAATCACTCAAAATTTGATCTGCTTGAAAATCATAACCATCATATTTTAGAACATTCACAATTTTATTATATCTTCATCTAGTATGAAGATATTTGCTCTTAAAAAAATCATGTGGTGTTATATTTAAAAAATTCAAAGTTGGCTTCACATGTAAAATAAATTTATTGCTTAATCCTAATCTGAAAGAACCAAAAGTGGAATGTTGTCAAAAGCATTGAAACACTATATTGTATCCAAGAAAATTGTTTGTCGTCTAAAATACGATTCCTAGTCAAATGAAAGTAATTTGAAACATACTACAACAAATTGAAGATATATTTTAGATATTCATATGAGTAGATAACCAGCTGCTTGGTTCTATATATTTGGTACGCGCCCCACCTCAAAAATAACTAGCTAACAATAAGCTACAAATAACAGATAGTAAGGCGAAAGTATGTTTTATTCAAAAAACATGTTGAAAATACATGGATGAAACATAAATAATGAAATAAATGAAAAGTTTTGAAATGTAAATATCCAAAATAAGAAGGGCAAGATCAAATCTAAAAACTATTTTTATTTTTAATTAGGTTCACGCCCCCTCAAAAAATTTGATAACTCCCCGCTTGTAGGGCGATCCCCCCCCCCCCCCCCGTTTGAGAACCACTGTTATAGGTGTAAAGAATGTGAAATGATACCTCACTCAGAACTGGTGATTGATTTGATGACTTCATTTTGGATCTCTGTTGATGGATTGGGCTTATTTTACGAGCATGAGGATCATCCATTGGTACAAGCGACTCACCAAATACTGGATTATGTTTTGAAGTTTTATCTAAAACGAGATATTCAAATTATTATTAGTTTTTGACAGAAATTATGGACAACACTATTGACATTGACAGTAATCCTAAGATACAAAAATGCTGGAAATATTAGCGCTGCCAAACTTTCTCAATAAATATTGCTTTAATAGAAACATTCGACTTTCTCCAAATGTTGTCAAATGAAGTTGCAATTTTCCATAAATACATAATAATGCTATAAATAGGTATTTAAATGAGAGTAATTAACAATATAAGCAGATTCATTAGGAATATGGCCATTGTAAATGTTCACTCACTTTGATTTGTGGCATTAACATTAGATTCCTTTCTCTTTTTATGTGGGCTTGAGGTAGATTCGTTTAAGTCTTCAAAAGGCAAGAATTCTTTGGCATCTTCTTTCATATCACTAAGATTTATATTTTTATCAACAGCAAACTTATCAGCTGTTGCAAAAAGCAGAATTGACTGACTTTTGCTTTTATCTTCCAATTTCGGCTTTTCAAAATCCGATTCGAAAGAATTCACAGTTTTCTTTTTATATTCACTACTTGAATGCATAGTTTTAGAAATAAAAAAATCGGAAGAATTATCATGTGCAAAAGGTTCATTAGATTGTAATGCATGTTTGATTGTATTTGTTAGGATCGTCGATGGAGATGAAATGTTTACAGTTTGTTTTTGTTGTTCTTGTATGATCAATTCTTCATCCGCAACTGAAATTTTCGTGCTGCAAGGGACGGCATTGGACGTCTGTGGGAATATAAGAACACATTCAGTAAAACAGCATATTAAAATAAGAATATCAACGCATCAATAAATAGATTATTAATAAGAATTGGTGCTACTCTGTGACATGAAATATCGGTAAGAATACAACTGTTGCAAGGGACGGTAGTGATCGTCTGTGGGAATATAAGAACACATGCAGTGGAACAACATGTTGAAAAGTACAATTAGAATATGGAAAACGCATCAACAATGCGATCAGAAATGGGTGCTTCTGCTACCTTTGTTCACATCAAATGAATTTTCATTTTGGTGAAAAATAAACTACTGACTGACTCCATAATACATGAACAAATACCTTGTTGGTTGAGAAGGATTGATCAATGGCAGACTCTGAGATTTTGTTTGAGAATGAGGTCGTTCTTTCAGGACTGGCTCGGAGAGGTGGTTTTCTGGTACCAGGACGGCTAGTTGATTGTACAGGGATTTTTCTGTTAAAGATTAGAAAAAAAAATGATGATGATGATTAGATTCATAAAATGCAAGACAACCTGACTGGTAATATACAACTGCTGCATATTGATCTATACATATTATAAACTTTATCTTTAAGTTAAGTTTTTTCGATTTTAGACATCCTAAATATATATTTGATTTGTTTGTTGTTATATGGATTGTTGTGTTTTCAGGATGCCAAAATAAATCCGCAATATTTTAAAAGTAAATTGCAAAATCACAGTATACATATATGACTATGCAAGAAAGCAAATTTAACAAGGCAATGAATATAATCATGATTTAAATAGAAATAAGATTGGTTACAATGATAAATAAATGCCAATTTACATGAACGTGCTAACAAAAAAGTGAATCTTACGTTCATCCACATTAAATTTAGAACTGAATTGAATTAATGTCACAATGTTTTAATTCAATTTTATAAAATAATATTTCGAAACAGCACATTTGTTACGAAGTATTCAGCACAGATTGAAAAATATTAGTAAAAGTATTAAAAAAATTACCGCTATGGTTCATAAACTCAAAAATGTTAGAAGTTAAAGAAGATATCGATAAATCTATAAACCAGTTCAAACAAGAAGTACAATTCAACACCATTACGAGCGTTACCCCATTGCATTGTTTATCAGATATATCAAAACCACATAAACACATATTGTAAGCACAACAGAGAATAGAAGCTATTACTACCAGCATGGCTAAAAACTAGCCTGATGAAATGAAACATCATTCATTAAGACTTAGCAACTAGCAACTAGTTTTATTTAAGATTTCATAAAAAGCTCCGACTTATATTTCAAATGCATCTATTTTTCTACATTTCATCATTAGTAATTTTAGTTTTCCTTTTCACTACAGTTATTGAGTTGTTGGTTAGCAAATGATTTGGCTTGAAAACTACTTGTACCTTGCTTCTTGTTTCAAAGACGCAGAAGCACAACGTGAGTTGGTTCGCGATGTTCCTACCGTAGACAATAATTATCAAGAAATAACATAGTAGTGGTAGTGTAATTTTAGTGATGAAATTTAGGAAATGATAACCAACATTATATAAATGAAGAATTATTAAACAAGATGAACATGACATGTATGCAGCAAATAACAACAGTCATTATGTTGCATGATAAATAAAAAAAATGCTTGAATCTGTAAACTGAAAAGATATTTGAAATATGAATTAATTTTTACACCAGGCAGAAATCCAGGGATAAAATTTAGTTTTTAGGGTGAAATGACAAAGGTGTGTTGAATTTTGTGGAAGTGTGAAGATAAAAAATGCAATTAAAACCAGACAGTCTGTAACATATATAAAACAATATTCCAATTTCTAAATTCACAAATTTTCTGAAATTCTTTACTTTGAAATGTTCATACAAAAAGAAGTGTCACATCTCATGAAATTAAAGCCTAGAAATACAAGTAAGAGATCAAGTCATAGTGGAGGATGGATGGAAAGAATATATGCTTAAAACCACGCAAACCTGGATTTTCTCCTTTTTCATCAAAAGGATTTGGGTGCTGTTTTATTGGTGTTCCACCTCGTTTAAGATCTGAAGTAGCTGGAACCGTTCTTACCTTCAAGGAATACAAGATATTATTTGATATGAGAGTTTAGGGAAATTGGTGTCGTTCGGACAAAAATTCCCCCCTTTTTTGTCTCCAATTTTTCAGTAGTTTAAGATGTTCCATGAAAGACATTCGGAAATTCCATGTCAATTTTTTCTAAATTTATTCCGATTGACATAATTAAGATACTGAATTGGAAAAGTAGAAATCAAAATCAAGTATTTGGTTTAACATGAGTCTGTTGTTTGATAATAAGAATAAACAGCGCAAACGATTAAATTATATTCATGACATCACAATAAGAAGTTATTTGGCCTTCAAGATATGTCAGTAGTGATTGTTTGCCAATGATATTCATACGACATATCGCAATCTGTATCAATCACTCTTGCCATCATAATCAAATATTTAAAAAGAAACACATCATAAACTGTGAACCCACGAAGAAAAATTAATTGATTGTTTTCCTTCCTTAATTCTTGTGATGATAAATATAATGATAGTTATACATATATTCTGCGATTCGTATCAGAAACAACAATAGCAATTTTCAAGTTCAAATTTAATACTTTCAACAGTACATACTTGCTCTCGTCTTTGCTGCATTTGAGCAACTGCTACAAGATGTCGCTGAGCAAGTACTCTTTGCTGAGCAGGTGAAAGCTGCCGCCTGATTGCTGATCTCCTCAATATTTCATATTGTTCTTCAGCTATGAAATTTAGTTAATATTTTTGTAACAAAATCCGTTTTTCAGGCAAGATAATTTTCAGCAATATAAGTAGCAATATAATATTTTGATATAAAATTTTCAGTTCAAAGCCTTGCTGGAAAAGACACAAAGTCCAGCTAAAATGTATGATTGCAAATGTGTCAACCAACAACTTTTGAGCTTGCTTAATATAACAAAAACCAATAAAGAATAACCCCAAAAAAATTTAAAAGTGTACTATATGCAAAGATAAATATATCAAAAACACTCAGAAATTTGCTCAGCTCTTAGGTAATGCATTTGTTGCACAACCAATAGTATTAATTTAGTAAGAAATGAGTGCTTTTAAATCATACCAAGATAGTATGGTAGTGGAAAGTAGATAAAACTGTTAGATAGATAAATGGAGAGTTCTTCAAAGTCAGATGCAATCACCATAGATAGCATCATATGGATATTGACTATTCACTAATTTGGTACTTCTAAATTAGTAGATCAACAGTTTTTTGAGGATGAGGAAAATGATGACAGAAAGTTACGGTACTTAAAAATGGACTTTGTACCCAGTGTAATGTGCACGGTATTTTCATTACATATCCAAGAATATCCCAATTGAAACAAAAATATTCTGTGATTACATCCCTGACAAAATTTTACCTTATAAAGCTGTCGCACAAACTGTTTTAGATTAAGAGTAGTATCACACCCAGATACATGCAAAAAAGTTAGTAGTTAATATTTTAATATTTGCAAAATTTATGATCCGTATCTATAAACTAAATGCTTTCAATACATCATAACTTGTTATGTTTTCTAAGAAGATTACTTTTTATTTGTATCATTGGATAGTTACACTGATCAGTTTTCACAAATCATGTGTATAAATCAGTTCAAGTTGTCATCAACAACACTTTAATTTAAGAAGAAGAGTGTTATTCCATTTTTCATATATTGATGAAAAATTTAGTAGACTGTTCTCATATTTTTAAATTTCTACCACACACCGCAAACGATTTACTGAACCTAAAACTGCATCTTTTGTCTCTTCATTGTAAGACTTATTGTCAGAATCAAAATAATTGTACGTATCAGGTTGCGGTGACCACTGGCAAGACGCGTTTCGCATGAGTGGAATATCATTCTCCGAACCAGAGTCAGCTAAAAGTTTTAGTCATCAGGTTAATATTTGTACTTTTATAAATCTCACGATTAAACATGCGAACAAAATATTGCAATAACTTAATTTATAAAACTCCTATATCATAATGTTTTATTCACAGAATTTGGCTTTCTTTCACTCATTCCAGAGGTTACAGACTTGACACACTCGTAACAAATAACTAAGGAATGAACCCCAGGTGAATTAATAATATTTGCATAATTTTTTAGAAAATTTGTTTAGTTCAATTACGAAAATATAATCTGATGACAATTTCACTTGCCCCACCTGTTAAATCAGTCAACTGGTTTGCCAAATACTGGACAGTAAGATTAGAATCTTGCTTTTTTCCAAGCCCATTTGTGTAACGCATCGAGTATTCTGCAATGAAATTAAAAATACCTACTGTATCGCCGGTAGTTAGTAGAAAAATACAGTGACATGGTTCAGAAAATTTCCAAAGTCAGAAATAGATCTATGGCACACAAGATGGAGAATCTGATTTGTAAATACAATTAAATCTGAACCAAACATAATCTGATGCATAATTTCAGCAAAAATCAAGAAGTCCTAATTTGAAGAATAGTCAAATACAAAAATAATAAATGATATATACCTTTTTTATCTGGTACCATAAGAACACCACTTCGTATATAAGCAGTTGTGAGAGCTTCAAGGTAGTCAGACTGATATAAACAAAAATAAAACAAGACTATAAAAACATAAACATAATTCAACTAAACAGATTGCTTAAAACTTTCGATCCATTCGAGTGTTAAGTCATGGTATACAGCGAAGAGTGAATACTTTTACTTATTATGCAATTATAATTGCTTGCCCTCTACATGCTTTTGTTGTATAACTATTAACATAACTTATTAGGTACATGGAAGAAACATTTCAAAATAAAATAATTAAAAAAAAGAAAGGTGATGAATTAAGCAGAAGAAATGAAATTAGGAGCATAGCATAAACTACAAAAATTAATGAGAGTGAAGAAGAAAATCAAACTTAATTTGTATACAGTATATAAAAATTTGGTCTAGTATCAGAGAAGTAAATCGCTCCATTTGATAAAAATTAGAAAATTCACTTACTACTTGTTGTTTATGTTTTTATACTCTACATATTTACTGATTGAATTTCTCATAAAATCAAGATGCATCTTTTCTTTTTTAGCCACTAATGCATACTCTATATTTTTAATAAAAATGTTGTTGTAGCTCAATGAATGCATATATATTATTTCGAACATGGATGTATACAGAAAACACAGCTCACCAGTAATTTAAGCTAAAAAAGTGGAAGCAATTAAAAGCAATCAGAAAGTGAATACATAAAAAGAAACATAAGAGTCAATCTATAATTCTATCTTGATTCTGAAGGTAATGAATAAACAATTGTATTTTTAAGTCAAAAGAAGAAATAATTTTTGAGCTGGAAAATTTGAAATTCTTGCACAAATTGTTATGCTTAATACTTGGTCATGTTAGTAAACTTGTCTTTAAAAAGTGCTATAAATCACAAGAATTTAGTTTGATCAACACTATCAAGTTATGTTGTGATTAGACTGGTTAGCATTGTAGAATTAAATTCATTCCCTGGTGCAGAGTCAGGAAATCCAGATCAATTTGAAAAAAAAAATGGGTGCTGTTGTCCCAACAAACAGAGATCTTTCTGCGTCAACATGTTTGCAACAACAAACGATGAAAAGCGGAAAAATTGACTCAATCGAGATGTCACACTAATGATAAACTTTTTACAAATAGGTAGAGATTATTTGATGTGGAAAAGCATGATTCGCACTAATAATTGGACAAACTTGATGACATGCAGCAATGGTGCACTGATAATGTCGTTTACTCAACTCTACTGGTGGTATGTGGCCGCTCAAGATTTTGAATGGTCAATATTCCGACCATTGGCTCAAAGTACTTGACTGTAACTTTGTTGAGCTGTAAAAATAATTTTTAAGTTTTTTCTTGGTGCCTTCAGGCACTGTTCATCCGTTGTTATCAGCACAATAGGAATAGGTCAAGCAAAAATAACTCTACATTGCCTCATGCTGTAGATTTTCATAATTTAAAAACTTGCCAAGATCATTTGAAAACATCATGAAAAACCAAGTTGAGATGGTTACAAATTAATATTACGCAATAAATCCAATTGAAAAAAACTGTTCAAAACAAAATTTTCCACAGCTCAAAAATGGTGTTCAGATGAAATTGGTAAGCATGAGAATATTAAATTGATTTTCTGGCCAAGTATAAATAATACTTCTAAAGTTAACTTCACTACATATACCTTTTCTGGTTCGGTGATGCTAATAAAAGTATTTGCAGGTGCAAGAGACTAAAAATATAGTACAGTGTTGCAATATAGTCAGCCGAAGTGCGCTCAAATTATTATAGCTAATTGAAATTATTATAAATTTGTAGAAAGAGTCAGCATAATTGTATATATCAACAACTGGTTACTAACCAAAGCATCCGATAAATAATTGATCAAAACTTAGGCAATGTTGTAAACAAAATTACAATGCGCTTCTGTTTACCATTCAGATTTCAATCTATTCAACTATCTCTATTTTTCAGTCACAGATATCTTCAAAATAAACCACAAAATCCCTCAACATTGGGCAGTCTTATCGACTTAATCCTATCGATGTAAATCCTATCCTATTTATTGTTTCTCAGATAAAATGTGACCTCCATTAAAAGAAATAATCTAATTTTATCATACATTCTTACCTTCATCTTTTCTTTGTATGTTATGTGTTTCAAAAAATAAAAAACAAATGTACTTTCTGCATTCTGTAACTAATGAACAGATGATCTGTTCCTCAATGAACCTTAAACCCCTCAACATTGACAACAACAACAACAAAGTACTCTGATATTTCAATCTTTACTTATTCAAACAAAATCAAGATTTGACTTTATCTTTAAAAGTTGTCTTGGGATCATACATTGCAATCTTCTTTCTAAGAGCTCTAGATCTTTTGGAAAGCATATAGAACATCGTTTTGTCCTTATCTTCTAAAGGTTTGACTGGATCTCCTTCAACACTCATATCGTTAACAGATGAGCAGGTTGAAATGTAAGCATTGTTTTGACGAAAATCAATTCGATTAAACGTATATTTGACATGATTCAGCATTTCTTGTTGACTTTTAGTTGAACGGGAAGTGAGACGTAGATTTGCTGAAGGAAACTTAGGTTTGGCACCTTGTGAGATTTGTGGCTTAGACTCCGATATTTTATGGCTCCAATACATAGGTGGTGACACTTTCTGGGGGAAATTATCTTTAGTTTTAGATTTAATTAGTGGTGGTCTTGCAGGTTCCTTGATTACCGGGAGATTGCGAGAACGTGGAGATGAAGAAACAGACAGTGACGGCTCAGTGTGTGGTCTAACGCGAGTTTTTTTGCTAAAAACTTTGAACATCTTATTAGAAGTATTCATTGAAGGCTGAAAAAGTCTAGATTCTACTTTTTGAAAATTTGGTTTAGGTTGAATTAATTTCACAACATCTATTTCATCAGTTGATTTTTTATCGCCATCATTTTGTTTCTGCTGATCCATTGAATATTTCATTAATTCTCCAACATGCATGCCTTCTGGTAGAATTTGAGAATTTTCAGTTAACATGGAAGGAGATAGGTTTATTGCCGTGCCTGTTTCATTGGTGAATTTGATGGTGTCGCAATAAACACCCTGGCCATCAGTTTGAATATTGTCTGAATATTGATGATTATCTGAGGGATAAACATTCGACATTTCATTCGATTTTGACAGAACAGCATTTACGTATTTTTCTATCCTAAACTTATTACACTCAATTGACCTTGTGCGAACACAAGTAGGTATTGGAGCATTTGATGACAAAGGTTGGGTGTTAGTTGTACGATGATTTGACGAATTGATTTTTTGTTGCTGTATAATGGCTGCATTTGTGATCAGCTTTTGTGGAGGAGAGAATTGAACAAAAGTTGCTCTGTTGGTTCGTAATGGTCGATTAATCTGTTGGAAAAATGTGTTGAAACCCTTTTAAATTGACTAACAATATTTTTCATCACTCACAAACATTTAAGGATCCATCTTAGTTACAATCAATAAACTTCTTTGTATCTGAAATAACTTCTGTGTTTATGATATGCTATCCTCCGATTGAAAACTTTCTGTTCTTTCAAACTAAACTTCAGACATTTCCTGTTGTTGCTATGCAAAACCTGCCATTCTAATATAATCTACCTAACTGTTAGTCATTTGAAAGAATATGATTACGTAATTACCTTCTTTGTTGCTCTTTCCTCAGAGAAGCCAGATAAATGAGAGGTTGTACCAACACTTACATGAGCATGATCTTCTTTTCGTTTACTACCAGCAGTTTGAGAATATCTTAAAAATGAAAAATTTACAGCCCCATGCAATTTGCAAGGCCAATGCAAGTATGGATCAGATAGAAAAGCTAATTTTTATTTCAGAACGATATAGCCAAATTGAAATATATTAAGGTGTTCATATTTATCTAAAGTTAATGCATTTTTTTAAATTTTCACATTATCTAGGCCAGTGGTGTGCAACCTGCCCACAAGAAAAAATTGTACGCATGTGAAAAAGTAAATGGTGTGCGTCCTGTGAAATGAGTTTTTAATTTAGCTTAATCTGGTATGTGCGAGTAATTCCAATCCCTTTGCATTGCAAAGTCTATAACTGAGTCCAATTCATCATCTATGCCCATCACGTTACAATGCCCTAACAGCTAGCTTTTGCGAAGCAAACAATGCATATAATAAGTGCGTAAATAAAAATTTTGTGTTTTCAAATTCTAGAAAGCCTATGTTAAATAAAGGTGAGACCCGTGGTTTCCCCCAGTTATTTGTATCGAGTCCTCCTGTATTGAAGGTTGCACACCCCTGATCTGGACAATGAGTAAACTTATTCAAGAGCAGATCTGCTTAAACAGACTCATCGCAAACAAAGACACAAAAAGGATATCAAAGGATTATGCAAATATTTAAGCCTATTCTCTGTGGTTACTAGGGTATTTTGTATTTAACTGTAGATCCTTCTTCCTTGTTTACTTTCTACTTCGAATTCATATGTGGCCAGTTGCCGATTAAACAATACAGTTTTATCAAAGTGATAAATAAGAATATCAAAATCTTATTCTACATTTCTCTTCCTACCTGATAGGCTTTGGTTTATCTGCAATTGTTTTTGCTCCATGGCTGGGTGTAGGTTTCGCATCTTCTTGAATGTTTGGTGCAGATGACTTCAAAAAACATATTTAAATAACATGTAAGATGAAAAAGTGCAAATATACAAAGAACATGATAATACTGGCTTTACAAACAAATGAAAAAAAAGCGTTTACAAAAAGAACTCAATTACCAATATTATTTTCAATATTCTAAATGAATAAATATTGAGTTTCGATATTCCCTAAAAATAATTTTTTTAAATTTGACACAAACATGATTCCGTCATACACTAATTTTGATTGTTTGAATGATTAAATGGCTGAATTATATTCGGTAATCAGAAGTAGAATCTACAAAACTGAAGCCTAGAAACTTATAGCGACGAAATGAAATATCCAAAATAAATAAGTAAAGAAAACATGAAATTTTCAACTCTAATTCACACTCTCAATTTAACTAACTAATTGCTCCATCGAAATAAATGATGTCTGATAGTTTTCGCCAAGAAATAAATCACAACAAACTCTTACTTTTCGAGACATTTGCTTGTTTCGATCTCGTCTTGATTTCAACCTTCGTTTCCTTTGTAACTTTGGAGCAATAGCAAGTAGATGAACTGGTAGCCTGTCATCACATGAAGAATCGGAACCAGATGTATCTGACTCATATTCACTTGAATAGTCATCAAGATTCACATCTCCAAGATTACCTAAACAAAATTTAGGAGAGAGATTTAATTAACGCTATATCTGCCAAAATTACAGATTTTTATTCGTTTCATTCGTTGGTATATTTACTTGTCTTATTCAGCCATACACAGGATAGGATTTACCGTACATATTTATCCTGGGGGAGAGGAAAGGCGATAAGATGGCCTAATCAGATGATGAACCACGGCCTCTCATCCAGTTAGAAGTCCATGTCGAGTATGGGATTAGTTAGTTAGCTAGTTTTTTGTTTTCGGTAGCATGGTCTCGATGGTGGAGGAAGTCATGAACGACCAGCGGTTATGTGAACCACTTTACGGCGGCGAGGAGTCCAGCAATCTTCTCGCACATAACTGTCCCTGCATCAGATTGGAACCTGCGAACCCACGCAAGGTGATCAGATCAGAGGTGCAAGGTGATCACGATGCGCCACACCGCTGAGCCCAAAGAAACAAAGCCAAGCCAAATACAGAAACATGCCCATGGTGACACATAAAGAATCATTTATTTATTCATGTACCTTGCATGTTACGCATCTGCATTCTCTTTAATATTTGTTTCTTGACCCTATCTTGTATTTCTTGATAACAAGCATCCACTTTTGATGTATCAGGATCACAATAATCAAGCAATGTATCACAAAAGTTATGACCCATTTCTTCTAAATCTCTTGTACTAAAATGAGTTCCCTTTCTTGATCCCAAGGTTGTTCCACCAAATGTAGCTTCCATAGTGTAACTATGATTTATTAGTAATGATAGATGATTACCGGTAATCAATGTGTTTTTTATGCAACATTACCGTACATAACAGTATTTTCTGGATCATGACACTATAAACACACCAAATGTGCCAAACACTTGAAACTCACGATACAGTTTTTGCATAAGTACTAAATTGATTATTGGTCACCAATTTTTGATGGGTCAATGTGCTTGAACAGCATTTCTCAAACTGTGTTCTGCAGAACACTGCTATTCTGCGAGCTTCCGAGTGTTCCGCAGGACAGGGATCAAAATTGCGACTAAATTGGTTTCCATGGCAAACTCGGTCGTACTTCGCTGCCTCTATTTGTAAATTTGTCTTCCAATTGGCAACAAACATGCGGCCTTGCTATCTAAACATGTCTGGAAAGCATGCCGTTTTTGTTAACCATCTAATATCGTTAACCTAATTTCTTAATTGTCAAGTCTACAGCGAACTTTTTAATTTTACCATGGGCTAAATATTTTGGAAACCACCCTTCTCAATGGATTGTTAGCTTATAACACAAAACTTCAAAAGATGTCGTGATAAGGCCAAGTTGATGAACAAAGTAAATCCTTTACACCATTTTTTATTATCAATTTTACCTTCTTATTTCTTGGTGTTCTGCAAGGCAATATAAAAAGCAGAGGTGTTCTAGGGCGAAAAAAAATTTGAGAAACGCTGTGCTGAAAAACTATCACCTACCGGTAAGTATCTCACTACCAAATGGACAATATTGAGACAATGAATCACATGTCTTAAATAAAAAAATATACAAATGCCCACAAGTTACCAATAATGAAGCTTATAATAATACATTTCATTTTTATTCATATGAAGAAGAACAATAAAAATAAACCTGTTCATGACCCCCATGCACCACATTACAACTCTACCAGTTCCTTCTTTACTTTTCTGTATTTTAAATTTACAACTTTCGTATTGAAATTTTGTGTTTGCATTTTTTGATAACATGAGAGGAAATATCTGAAAATAACAAAAGTTGGAGTTGAAAACAATTGAGTAAAGAGTCAATTCTTACCATTTATCTTAAATTCAAAATTGTTTTCGGTTTTAAACAGCTTTTGACTGTACAAAAATGTTTACCCATTTTATTATCACTGTTCAATATGAATGAAGATTAAACTGCACGAAGAGTTTTTATTGCTTCCTTAAATGGCTGCGTTTTGATAAGAAATTGAAAAATGTCTTGCTACTGTGTTACTGATAAATAAGAATGACATAATCTCATTCCATGAAATAGCAAGTTTATTTGTTAACTTTCGTCAGATCATAGTTCAACTTCTTAATGATTATTCACTGTTTGATTAATTTATATCTTGTTTTGTTTGAAGAAGTTAGACTGTCATCTAACGAAAGTTAACAAATAATGTTAACAAATAATATGTTATTCTCATTTATCCCTTTGATACTATCTCGTCTAAGTGTCTTTGTGGTTACAGCCATATACGTATCCGAAGTAGACATGGAGAAAAAAAAAGGCAGTTCAATATACAACAGAGGTGGGCAAGATTTTCAAACCAAGAGCCCAAAATTATGCCCACCTAGACTGGTCCAAAAGAAAGAGGTGTGAGAAGCATACCGTCCAATCGATTGAGCGAGAAAGCGTTGGTTAAAAGCAGTTTGCCCATGTCAGAGATATACAATATCCTAGTACCACTATTTTACACCATACTTTTACTACAATTGTTCTGTATGAATTCTTTAGAACTTGTAACTCAAATCATTGAAAAATTACAGATAATAAAAAGAATCTTACCCTTTCCCTGAACTTTCTTTTAGGATTGTTTTTGTTTTCGCATCCATAAATAAAAATATTGCTTTTTCTTGAATGACCATGAAGATCACAATATAATATAACTTCTCTTTCCATGTTTAACCTTTTCACCATCATTTTTACATGCCACACAGATGGAAATGAATCCTTCAACACTGACTTGTAATTTCTGTTGAGATCACGACCAGCTAGTGAACATCTTAAAGAATATTTAATAAAAATGATTAAAATTTAGGGCGGCACAAAATACCAATCAAAACATCAAACTAGAGGATAGAGGAATCTCATTAAATTATGTCTGCTTCACAAATGTTGTAGGCATTGAAAAACAAATAAAAGTTATAGTATAGTCATTGTACTTCATTATTCAATTACGGATGGTTAGTTTAATTTCAAATACACAAAAATCGATACCACTTGTATTTGGTCTCACTTGCTCAACATAATCTCAATCGGATACAAAAGTGGCACCAATCGTGGTGCCAATTTGGTATTCGTTTACTCAAATGAAGACATTCTCATAGAATTCAGTGCCTAACTCTGTCATCATTGAGATAGGTTGATACTAAAATCACTGAGATCACACAACCGCTGGAGTCGCATACCAAAGTGGCACCCAAATATTTATAAATCTACTTATATAACAAGACCAGCATTAAAAAAATACTAAGTTCTGTTATGAATTCGAATCCATTTTATTATTAATGTTTCATCTTATAGATTTGTACAACATAGAATAATATTAAAATGAAAAAACATGAATTAAAGTTAGTTTGCCCATACCTGTAGTTTCCAACAATCACTCCATCTGGGTTCAACATTGGAACAATTTTAAAAATAAAATTGTTTCGGAGCAGCTGAATGAAAAACACATTTCAGTGAAAATAAGTTAAGAATATACATTATTAAATCTACATTTAAAAGTATTATTCATGCTTTCCTATAGAAACAAATTGGCAGGAAAAAAGAAGTCACACCCATAATTCTGTTGCACATGAATGTGTTTACACTTACATTGTAAATGTGTTGTATGCATTTCATTTTAGTGTTAAGTTACTTTGGTCTTGTTTAAACAAGCACAGAAGTAAGTACACACAAAAAAAGTTGAGACATTTGGTAAGGATTGGTTTTTACTGATAATAGAAAAAGGGGCGCTCCAGAGGTATGTGTACCAATATGAAAGTACGGTAACTAATTTTGTTCGCACACTTTACATCAAGTTATGTATAGGGAGTATTCCCTTGGCTAACACAAACAGTTCCCGAACGAAATAGAACTAAAATAAGGAAAATCGGAATAAAATTATGGTCTAACCCTAACCTGGTACACATACTACGGGAGTACGTAAAATCATGCATATCATAATGCTAACGCTAATCTATATACCGAAACTAACCTTAGCATCAGCTGAATTTCCAGACAAAAAATCAAGAAATCCTTTCATCATCCACGATGAATTAGTTTCACCAGGATGAACTCGTGCTGTGATTACAACTGCTTTCTTCATTCGAGCAATTTCTGGATTTCGAGATGGTGACGTTATGGTGAGAATATACACAAGATTGCCTGAAAGAATACAATATGACAATAATAAAAGACAATCTTGGCAATCACGACTGAAATTCTGCTTGAAAGAAAAAGCAGCTCAATGTCCTGCCCTAGGTAGATAAACCAAAGATTTGTTACAATTCCTCATATCAATGCTTGAAATGACCAGCATGTCATGCAAAAATTAATTTAAAATATTAATCCTGATTCTTCTGAAGAATATTGAATATAATATATACCAGCTAGTGTCCTGCACAGAACCCTTTGTTTGCAGAATCGTGATCGAACTGGATCGTTGGCAAGTTTCAGAAGATATTCCTGTTTTAAAAAAACTTTAAATTTAGCAATATCCAAGCATCAAAAGATGGTCAAATATCATCCAAGTCTAATAATAAAACATCTACACATTTTTTGATAAAAATTGGACCTGTAGTGACCTGAAGTTTCAAAATTTACCAATCCTGACATTTGACCTGGCTGAGGGTGTTTTAATTTGAAAGTCATTCTTTGAGTCGCACTGCTTTAAAATACTCAGATCTTATTTGAGCTAATAAAACCCTACGCATGCACTTGTTTATTTATGTGTTATGCTCTTCACAAGGACTACAATAAAAGCACAAGGTATTTTTCAAAGTATTTAATCAACAAATTTACATCATTTTCTTCATCTTTCATTCAATTCAAATTCATTTAATAGTAAGTCTTATTTTTCTCTCATAAAAAAAAAAAAAATTAATTTCTTTTTAACATACAACACACACCTGTAAATCTGTGTAGGTGTAAGGATAACAGTGAGCAAAATAACAAGTATCTCCTTTGTGTGGAAATTGTATCGTCCATGTCAATGAATAATAAGTTCTACCAGACATAGTCCCCAAGTTATTTCTATAATATCGAATATCATTTCCAGCACGGGTCCATCCAATCTAAAAAATAAACAAATCAGCTAAAAGGTTCCTGTGACGTGAAAGGACACACTTATATATATCCTGAAGTAAAAAATGACAAAGCTAACTAGAAAAATGTTTTTATATAGTGATACAGCACGCTCGCCTACTTTACATCAAGTTGTGTAAAAAAGGGACTGAAATCTATGGGAAGGGGGTATATTCACTTGGCTAACACAGACAATCCCCGAATTCGTAATAGAACTAAAATAAGGAAAATCAGAATGAAATTATGGCCTAACCCTAACCTGGTACACACACTACAGGAGTACCGGATACAGCTGTACTTGACCGGACTACACAAAGCACTGCAAGTGAACCATCCACAACCACACGGTACACAAAATCAATAAGTTTGAGCTCAACTAATGACCAGTTGACCGCAATCGATGTGTTGACCACCACTGCTGCACACAAGACAACGGCAGTGCAACCATTAGGTATACCTTTAGTAACATCCATATATAGTTAATGCTTTCTAATGCATACTTATTAATATTTTTGCTTAAAACACTCGTCCGATTTTCATTAAATTTGCATGTTTTGGAATATGGTCAGTCAGTTGGTACGCACTGTTATTTTGAAGTCTAAAATATTTCCCAATTTTTTAAGTTCCAAATATTTAATAACACAATAAATATATACAGCATATCTCGACTATACAAGAATTTTTCATAAATTAAAATTTTACTCAATATAGATCTAAACAATGCATTTGATCAAATATTAATTTCCATAGCTTTTGAACTAGGTACTTAATTATAGGATATAATAATAATTTATAAACTGAAATTTTGTTATTTCAAAATTTTATAATGACAAGACGATATCTTCACCTTGCTTTTCTTTGCATTCATATCGGAATAAAACAAAGGCTTCATTCCATTGTTATACAAACTAGATGGTTTCATCAAATTCACAATTGTAAATCTGTAAGTTTCACCAGGTACCATGTTTTTCACCCTGAGAACATAAATAAAATAAATTCATAGATACGTTCATTAAGAACAGAAGTAATAAAACATTGTCTAACTTTACAGCCATTTACATGTTTTTTTGATTTCATCACAACCGTATTAGTGAAATAAAAACTCATTTGCCAAGTTGGATATAAAACTGACAGGATCTACCGTAAATTTATTTTTAACACAAAAAGTAACTCAAGTTGCAACTTTAAGGCAAGTGAAATCATTTCCAAATTTGTCAAAATAAATATACATTTCTTAATCAAGTTAAGGATTTCTCATATCATTTTACAATAACATTATACAGCTCACCTGAAGAAAAACCACTGAGTATGTCTGTCAGTGTAAAGATCAGGTCGGAGTGTGAGTTCGTAGTCATAATTATTTCTGCAAATAAACATTGAGTAAGATGTGTGCATACATAAATAAGAGCAAACTTTCATGTGAAAAGTAGTTGTTTGATATAAAGAAATAAGAGTGTGCCGGGATTCGGGAAACAAAGTAGCATTGGATAAATATAAAGGAATAATATAATCTTGAATGGAAGAAAAATTCATTGTACATTTCTTATATTAAAGCATGTATATTTTTTTCAACATTTTCACTTCATATAAAAATGGCAGATAATAATGGATTATGTAAAACACGATTCTAGCAAAATTCGCAGCAGGAAATATCGCCGTAGGAAATCTCGTTGCAGGAAATTTCGCAGCATAGGAAAAATCGCTGCATGAAAAAAACCTGCAAAAGCATTTTGCTGTAGAACAAGTATTTGTGATAAAAACTGTTACCTAAGTTTTTGAAGTTACCTTTTTATTTAAAAAAGATTTGTTATTTAAGAGCATACCCTAACCCTATAAACATAACTGTTTCTGCTATTTCGGCCAGTTTTAATGCTATTGCAAATACTTGTTTTACAGCAATTTTTCATGCGACGAATTTTCTTATGCTGCGAAATTTCCTGCGACTAGATTTCCTGTGGCTAGATTTCCTACGACGAATTTTTCGGACACGGTAAAATAATTATTTATAAGATAACTTCTCTAACATTTTAACAACTTTCAGCAAATTTCCACTCTCGAATCTTGACTCAAATTCCAGAGTAAAGTTTCCTTCATCAATTGATTCTCTAGGCGTCAGACTTATATCGCGCATAGCTAGTCGACAGCCAGCGACCCTTGACCTCATAAAATAAACATCTCGACCAGGATCATTCAAATATATAATCTGAAAAAATAAATGACAATAAAAACAATGACTTAAGATACCTCACTATAATTTTTTTTTAATATTTACTCAAAGAAAGATCATGAAAACTCACTCAGATATTTTTTCTTGAAGAATGGGTAATCAAAGCAAGGTAACGAAAACTCACTCAAAAAGTATTTTTTGAAGAATATTTGCTCAAAGCAAGGTCACGAAAACTCACTCAGAAATTTTTTTGAAGAATATTTGCTCAAAGAAAAGTCACGAAAACTCACTCAGAAATTGTTTTTTGAAGAATATTTGCTCAAAGCAAGGTAACGAAAACTCACTCAGAAATTGTTTTTTGAAGAATATTTGCTCAAAGCAAGGTAACGAAAACTCATTCAGAAATTGTTTTTTGAAGAATATTTGCTCAAAGCAAGGTAATGAAAACTCACTCAGAAATTGTTTTTTGAGAAATATTTGCTCAAAGCGAAGTAACGAAAACTCATTCAGAAATTGTTTTTTGAAGAATATTTGCTCAAAGCAAGGTAACGAAAACCCACTCAGAAAAAAAGAGAATGATATCCGAGTAATCTATGTGCAACCACTAAAATAATTTACCAACACTAAGTACCATATGTTTACAGATTACCATATGTTCCGAATAAGCATACTTATCAACAGCATATTTGTTTTACCTCTCCGTTTGGAGTGCCTCGAACAGCAGGAGTTGACTCCTTTCCGGTTGGAATATAAAAAGGATCGGGGACTGGTGGTATATATTCAATGAAATGAACTGATGAACAAACAACTTGCATATGGGACGGCCATCTAGGTAAAGATAAATTTCAAGTCATATTAAGAAAACAAGATAATAAAAAGACTCAATAAACACAGCTATCACATTTGGATCTTTAAATAATCTCTGGCATATGGAAACCACTTGTGATTTAATGCAGCATCAATTTAAAAGCACATTTAGATATGAAGGGGAAAATCTTTAAAACAAATATTCGTTATCCAGAATTTTCATACATAATATACTAATCGATAGATTTACTGATCCTGTTTCAACATTTGTAAATACTGCCTATCTGAATATGACGCTGCAGAAGTATGTGTACCAATATGGAGGTAACTAAATTTGTTCGCCTACTTTACACCAAGATGTGTGACGGGATGTAAGACTATGGGAAGGGTGTACTTTCACTTGGCTAACACAAACAGTCCCCGAACTCGTAATAGAACTAAAATAAGAAAAAAACGAAATCAAATTATGGCCTAACTCTAATCTGGTACACATACTACAGGACAGGAGTACCCTGAATACCACCTAGGCTAATGTATTGTCTTTATTTTTAGTTAATGTATGTAGGACATAAACAAGATTGTTATAAATCGGGCGTGGTCGTGATGTCAAATACAAATGGTTTATCTAGTATATTCAAATTTGATTTTATTGAATTAGTAGTCATTTCTAATATAGATATTTTCATTCAAAAACTGGTTTTCTGTTTTTATTTTGGTTATTGCTGCCTCCAAAAAATATTCATAATTTAATAATTGAACCAAGTAAGAAATGAGACATCTATTTATTTAAAACATAAAAAGACGAAACACCTCGATCATATACAATTTATGTCAATACTTTTATACTTGGTAAAACTTTTACAGAATAAAAGAGAGATAACCATACGCTTGAAGCCGAAACATAATTTACGTAATAAACATTCCCTGACTAAGTTCAGAAATTATAACATTGGTAAAAAAAATAAACTTGGAATTAAATAAACGTGGTTTTGCTACCTTGTAGCTTGTTGTGGTCCAGCCTCTTTTGTTAAAGCATACAAATTCCTCGGTTCTCTTAGTTTAGGTATTTTCTTCCCAGCTTGATAATGAAAAACGAGCTGTGTTGTTCTGGTTAATAAATCATCTGCTGGTTGCCCTTCACCAAAAACTAAAAAATGTAAAGTTTCATAAAATATAAAAGTGAGATCAATCTGTAAAAATATATTTTTATTCATGAATAAAGTCTGTTCACACCAACAATATACCGGAGAATAGTATTGGTCATCCCTACTCACAATATCGCGAGGTAATTTTATGTAATAAACAAGCAGATGGTAATAACTCATTCATACAACGAAAAAGTTCCGAATTTCAAGTAAACATTTTTGGTGCATAAGTATTTATTTATATTGAAGCAATAGATATATATTCAGCACTTGAACACATATTCAATACTAGGTGATATAAAAAAACCTACATTGGCCTAAATTAGGGTCCACTGCTGCATTTTTGTGAGCTGAAAGATGTCCCCTTTTTCGCAATTGTTCGTCATCCACAGATAAGTTCTGCATTCCACTGAGACGTAAATCGTAATTTCGATGCCAATTTTCTAAACCATCATAATTATTCCTATAAGATGCATTACGGCCTGTCAAAAAATAAGTGTATACAGTGAAAGATTTAGGTTTTTCAAAATATAGTACTTGTTAGGTATCAGTGCATACTTATACAGCGCCTTGTTTTGAGCAAAAAGCATTTGTACCGGCTATATAAAAAAGAGTGTCTATTTCCTATATTTTTTAAGCTTATGCATAATTAAATAATTTGAAAAATTTATCCCTGCTAGAAATAATTTACAAATAAATAAGTTTTAAATGATATTTCAAATTGAAAGTCAACAATATCGTTAACATTGAAAAGATGATATTTCAAATAATCTAATCAATACCTTGCGACTAATACGATTCATGACGAATACAAAAACGTAGTCAAAAAATTTGAATAATTCAATAGATACTTGTGTATGTATTCATATGGTATAACAAAGCATTTTTGTTAAACACCTTGTTATTTGGGACAAACTCAATTTGTTGCATTTTTTCCATTTTATTTCGAAACATTGTTACATCCCCAAATCAGTATTATTTCAAGCTGTATCATACTGAATATATTAGTTTAGATCATATTTAGAGCGATAACCAATTCTCCAAATTAATGAATCCCTTATTTGAAAATGGTTTAATCAAAATAACTACTGCTATGTCTGCATAAACTAATCTGCCTACATGAAATGATGAATTGGTGTGAATAAGCAATAAAATCTCTCAAAGTCAAATATTCATTACACAACAATTAAATTAACTAGATCCTTCTCATAATGATCTTTTATTATGAATCCCGAAAATATGTCCCTTCTTGTCTAAATATCTACCTAAGTTTGAGTTAATCATGTTGGTTGGTCACTGGGCAATGATAACTGACAGTCCTGTCTGACAGACAGACAGCCTGATTGCGATGAAATTTAGCTTTGGCACGATACTTATCGTTTTCCGCATTTACTTTTGTAACACTGTATATATTGTTCATAAAATGTAACTTTTTACGTCACACTTAGATGGCCCGCCAGTCTAGGTGGGCAAAATTTTTGGCCCCCGGTCCCGAAACCTTGTTCATCTCTGATCTACACCTTTCATTGCATTCAAGCAATATCAGGTGAACAATGAAAACTGTAGATGTAGCAATAGTAACTACATGGCAAGTTTGTTACAAGAGGATAAACTGTGTAACAATCAACTTAAACATTAATCTTACATTAAAGCATTATATATCTCATTAAATGACAAATTCTGAATCTTGATATTTCCTAACCTTTTTAACTAACTCACGACTACAGAATATGACAGAATGGAAATAAAACTAGTCGTTAGTTTCTTCATTCCGGATTGTTAAATCCAATGTTTCTATATCTCACATAACAATTATCTAACAAGAATTTCTAACACACAGAACACAGTCAAACAGAACTTTTACAACAAATGTAATTATACTTTGTTATGTGAACAGCATGTAAGCAATTGTATGAAAGGAGACAATAGATGAAGACAATTGTTATTTTAGAGTACCGCCACTCAATAGCTAGCTACGCAGTATTACTTTAAACAACTGACACACGCAGAAGCTTCTCAAGACGTAAGCTGAATAATCACTACATCTCTCTTCAGTGCTTGATAATCATTACTACAGACAGATGTCAGATTGTATAGTTAATGAAATTGAAGCATTTAATAAATGGCCAGGAGTATGCTTGAAATAACATAAATAAGATTATTTATGTATTGGTTGGAGCTATACCATACATCTGCAACTTTGTAGACTACTAAAATGGTTATCCACTTGATAAAAGTGAAAAATGAACTGTATTTACACAGTAAAAATCCTCCTAAAGAAATATTTCAAAATATATGTGCATAGAATTAAGATTTACCCAATGGATTAACAATAATTCCTAAACCTAATCAATCTCGGCCTACTTAAAATATGATTAATTATGACTCCTATTTTCGAAAATAAAGTTATGGTTTTGATGGACAAAACACCTGTCCCTACAAATAAACAGTATTCTCTACACCAGTGGTTCTCAAACTTTTTAGAGTTGGGACCTACTATCTATTACTACAGCTCATGGTGACCCATCTCGTGATTTTCTACAATGTAATTTTATTTTTGATAAATGAACACAAACGACCTCTTCCAAAAAAAAAACATAGTGTTCTTCTTCAAAAGAAAATAAATCTAAATCCTGTCTAAATTTCGGGGGAAACACGGTAAGAAGTGCTTACAGTGTATAGAATTGCTATGCGTAAAAAAGCCACAGGGTCATTCTTTGTGTAGCAAATTTTTGTTCCTTTGAGAAGATCATAAAAAGAAAACTTTCACAGATTAGAATTTAAATTCAATTTATTTTTTTTTGTTTTTTTGAAGATTTACGTATTCAAGTCGCCACCGATCCTAATAACCAGTATAATTAACCAAAGCTTTTTACATCTTTTCACGACCCACTAAGATTCCTTTTGCGGCCCATTGTTTGGAACCGCTGCTCTACAGTATCCAATTCAAGAGTCCTGCTGCACACTAACACAAATATATTTCTGTAACGTTTCGTCCGACCAAAGTCAGACTTCTTCAGACAAGCAGTTTACAACAATGGTGTCTACAGTGCTATTATAAGAAATCCAATAACCACAAAACTTGTTTCGAGATTTTCTCTCTAACCAATTAAAAAATCTTTTTGTGAATCACCACACGACATCATCTCAAGAAAACCAAGAGAGTTGACTTAAGAGTTCAAGATGCCACTGAAAAAGTATTTTCCACTGACATGTATGGGAAAAATTCAACGAACAATTCAAGTATCTCTTGACACCACTCCAGGTATCTTAGTAATAGGTGTGAATAACTGATAACAATGACTAATTCACATCATAGGTAGGCAAATATGACGAAAGACTTTCTTTTCATTAAGTTCAAATATTTGTGCTTAACAAATAACTAGTAATGTTTTTCATTTGTGACAATATTCGTGGTGCATCACAATCTAGTCAGTATATCTGGTATGGTGGTTGTTTCCTAACTAGCAACATATTATGTAGTGTTATTCGGTTCTTTTCCATAATCGAAATAAAAAATGAATTTCCTTGCCAAATGCTAAATTCTTTAGTGCGGGTGTTATATAAAGCTCTTCTTTTTTAGATAACCTTACTCAAAATAATATGACTTGTATTGGTTTGATAACAGAACATCCCTGATTGCTAAAAAAGATCACATGCCTGGTCCTAGAGTTTTCCAGGGGGCCTTTTTAGTAGATATTTGAGACGGTCTCTGACCTATCATGTTGTTTGAGTTTATTTTTTAGTTTTGTTCAGAAAAAAAAACGAAACCCATTAATTTCTTAAATACATCTACAAAAATGAAAAAATTTTATTTTTTTTGTTTGAGCTTGAACTCCTGTTTGTGTATGAATATAAAAAAAATTTCAAAAAATTTCAAAAATTTAGGATGCTATAAAAGTCATGTTCTGTCCAGGACATAATCCAAATTACCTTAGAGACAGGCATCCGTTACACAAAATTGTCAATCACTCGCTTGGTTTTCTGCTGGAGCGCGCTTCCTGCTGTCAGGACATGTCAATAGCAACAATAATGTTCATGGGACGCAGCAGCTCAGAAAGAAGTTTTACATAAATTGTTAAACCCAGTAAAATGCATGGTATGGGTAAACATTTCCATACATGGCGTAATCGGTCCGTATTAGTTTGAAGACAAAAATGAGAGAGTTCAAACGGTGAGTAGCCTATAGAACATTACATGATGGTGCCTTGGAAGTTTTGGATATCACTTGGATGATGTAAATGTAGAGGAATTGATCGAGATGGAGATGACCCCCCGCATTCAAATCACACCTTTGACTAACTGAGAGAGTGATTTCAGAAAAGGCTGGTTAGCAGCCGGCAGTGACGTCGAGTGGACTTGAACACAACATTTTTCCTCAATCCTCAAACAATCAGTGCAACTGCAGCAAAAAACTTAAAAATTCCCATACAGGAGTGTGTGCGAGTGATTGACAAATTGGCCAACAGATGCAAGTCCGTTACTAATGTCGAGGTAGTAATTAGGAACATATTCAGGATCCTCTTATAATACTTCAAGTTAAAAATTTTTGATGGAAACTTTATAATTTACAAAAAAAAATAGTATGCAGGAATATTTCTGTTATTATATTCAGTTTTTCAGTGTGATAAAAAGCTATTCGTGTTACCAATAATCTAACTCTGACATGGGCAAACTACAGGCCGCAAGCTAAATCTGGCGCATTGGGTAATTCAATCTTGCCCACCTGATGCTGCCATAACCAAACTAAAACCAATTTTAATGGTTTAGCTAAAATATAGCTCAAGGAATTTGTTGAGATTGTGATGGGAAATGTAAACCAGATCTGTAGTAATAAAAAAAAAACTCAGACAACAAAATAAACCATACCAGTAAAGTAGCCATAATGTTGCAAATGTCTTCTCATGAAGTTGTCGTAAGGATCCTGTAAATAAATATAATAAATTTCTGAAGAATATACAAGTTTCATTATAATTACATATATTATAAAAAAAAAATGAATTTTATGCAAAAAAAAGATAAATTAGTTCATAGTAGAAAACAAAACAAATTACTGGAACAAATTGGACTGTTAGTATAAATTCTTCATCACTCTTCCATAAAAGTTCTATTATTATATCTCTGTACTTTTTTTAGACTAATTGTCTTTCCCCAGCTGTTTCTCCCTATTTAACTTATTGAAACCATACGTAAAGATTTATACCAATCCCTACTTTGTTGCTGAATTTTAGAAAAGTCTCAAGTTTCTCTTTGTGTCCATTTTTCTTCACTTTCTAATTTTTATTTTAACTCGTTTTAAATCTTGGTGTCGCAGATTTTTGAAGACCAGATCTGGTCCTTCGCGACCTCCTGTCAATAGCGATGAAATCTGATATTCTGATGTTCTATAATAATTTGTGTTTGCCTGACTAAATTACCTGTGATTCTTTGCATGATGAAATAAACTTTTTGTCTATTGTCTTTCTGTCATTTGTCAAAGCTTGAACATAAGCTCTAAATTCTTTTTCTCAAACATATCAGTAATTTATGGATATTTTTTACCAAACACAATCTAAATCATCTATATTCTGCAAAGTTTCTTTTATTATAACTAGTATATAAATATACTGTCACTCACTCCTCCCTGAATTTCCTCAACACATTCGATATCACCGTCATAATCCCGTGTCTCAGGATACCATCCTGCTCTTGGCTTGTACATCCAACTATATCTGTTCTATCAAATACCATAAACAATAACATATAATAGGAGAAGAGTTTAAGCTGAATATATAATAACATAAACATGGCCTGCACTTGAGCACTGGATTATTACTCATGGTAAACTATATGGCAGATTCGAATGATATTTCACAATTACAGACATACTCGAGGGTTTATCAAAATATGTATCCCAAAGAAAATATGAAATTTGAAATATATTTCTATTACGCCATATTTTATAAAAAAAAGTGGCACCGTCAGACAACAATAAAGAGAAATTCGAAAAAGAACTGCATTGACAATTTTCATGTTAAACTATTTTATGTCATTCAATAGATTAATGCTTGATATAGCGCGCTGCTATTTGCTTTCATTTTTTTTAGTGGACCGCATGTCACCAGAAAAATTTCAAGGGGACCGTTATGCAAAATTTTTCAAAAAGTTTGAGAATCACCTTTCTAGAAGCATATTCCATTATCTACCTACCGTATATTATTTCATATGCAAAGTGGATAATGCTAGCTTATCCCAACTCCAACCTCAGAACAAAATGGCAAGGAATTAGTAGAAAACCCTGTTAAATTCCTATTTATTTTCACTCACATCTGCATAAACCAAAATTCATCTGATTTTCTGACTTGATTTGAAAATTTTTTAATATAATTATATCTTACTGACACATATCCTTCAGTGCCGCATTATTAATACATTCACAATAAGAGCATTATATGCACACCACAAAAAAGGAAAGAAAGTTGTTGTTCTGCTATAAAAAAGCTGGAAATCAGTGACTTACTAGGTGTCATATATGCCACAGTATCATATTGTTAAACACTCTAATTACCACATAGACAGGAGTATGAATCATATGAATAGGCCTTAGTCTGTCCCAAAAAATAACAAAAAATATAATATAACAATAATATTACCTGTGCATCTAACTCATTTTTGTCTTCAACTTCATCCAGAATGACATTTGGATCTTCATCATCATCCAATATATCTTCGTCATCCAGAATCACACTACTGGAAAGTTCATTCATTTCAAGACCTTTGTCCTCCATCCCAGTGTTGTCTGATATTGAATATAACACAAGTTCAATGTTTCACACAGTGAAAGTGATTTTGAGTAAAATACAGAAATAGCAATGGTGTCAATGTCAAATCATGAGACAAATCCAGCCCATAATTCAGAAATCAAATTTGAAACATTGGCAAAATGGAAGTTAGGCTATTGAAAAATGCGAAAGTGCTGGTGAACACGAAAGAAATCTTTAAACAATTGGACTGTTTGAATTCGCTTTTCCTTTAGTTGAGTATAAGACAAGAAGTCCTCAGCTAATGATAACCTGACTTCTTCTTCTTCGGGTCACAGATCACTAGTTCACAAAACGTTCAAGTTATTGGACAAGTAATGATTCATATCGAGCTACTTTCCATATTTCAAGTCGATTCATTCAATTTTTATAATAATTTTTTTATAATAATTAATTTCTCCGAAATCATATAGCTAACGTTAGACGTAAGCAGAAATGTGAGTCAAATTATTCCACCAATCATATTTATGCATTTAGGTTCTGCTTACCTAAACCTGAAATAACATTACATTCCCCCTTCTTGTATGGCTGTGGATGATGTGGTATGGCTGATGTAATATATTGATGGGTGAATTTTAACAGGCGAGAGACTTTAAAGCAATCTATAAAATAAACGAGAATATCGGTTGGAAACCGAAGACTTATCGATCGATAGTTAGGGGATCCCCCAAAACAGAAACTGCAGTTTCGATTCATCCGCTCTTGTAACTTGCGCACTGCGCATCGCACACACACACTCGGCGGGTTTCAAAATTCTCTCGCTTTATAAAAATCTAGATCACTATATCAATAATTGATTGATAACTCGCTAATTATACGACATAATTCGCCCAAAATCAATAGACTTCTGGTCCGAGATAAGATGAATGCACATGCAAAATCTGGAGCAGATTCAATCTCGCTTTCGTGAGATATCGCGTGCATCTAACAGACACACACACAGACAGACAGACAAATACCTATCAATATACTTACCGATCTTAAGATCGATAAGTAAAAACATCAGACAAACAAAACATCAAACCTATTCAACTCATTGCTTGGATTTATCATAAAAGATTTTGTTTACCTAGCTTGCTAGACTATTCCCAAGATTGCTTAAATATCGGGAGATAGTGAAATGCAAATTACTTGTATCTTGTATGAAAACACCAGCATTAGAAACAAAAAAAGTGTAACTTACAGTTTATTGAAATAGAAACCAAAAATATTAATTCTAACCTCTGAATAAATAGTAAATTATTAATTCATCAGCATGTCAGCGACGTCCAACTTGTATAAGCCAGTTAAATAAAATTCAGAACCAGTAGATAAATACAGAGATGCATTTCAATAGACCCTTTGAAGCAATCAGAATCATGAATCAAACGTTGTAGCTTAGCAACGAGAAAATCTGCCCAATATCGCCATCTTCCGTCAATCTTTTCGAACCTGAAGGATGTTCCCACGCGCATCGATTTTCTCGTTTAGGTCCGCAACAATTACAAATCAGCGATAAGTTCACAATGACATAACAATTGGCATTTATGTCGCTGCTCAGACAGATATTCAAGCGTTGTGGTTGTGAACATTGCCTCGTTTTCGTGGTTTCATGTATTATTCGTCAGATTTCAGTTGTTTTTCTAATTAATAAATAGTTGTATAACAAATACCTCAATTGTCGTTATGTCTTTCGAGGAGCTTTAGTTTAGTTGCAGTAATTAAAAATTGACATCGCAATCTCTGCGATAGACTAGCGCGAAATTAGGTATCGGTGCCTGTACGGCGTACGCGGAACGTTATTTAATGTTTTAAATAAAAACGACAGCTTTGAAAATTTAAGCAAGCTTGTGAGCGCTAACTCTCTAAAACGCTCTCAAGATTAGCGTTGAAAATTTTGCAATGGTAAAGTATAATAGCAATATTTAAGGGGTCACGGGTCGAGGAAACATCCATAGATCGTTAGTAATCATAAATTCATTTCTAGCTAAATTGAATTAATAATTCACAAGCGTTCCTTCGAAATTGAGGTTCAGTGGCAAGTTTATTTATTTTCTGTATTTGGTAAATTTTCTATCAAAATCAAAACTTCAGTTCGAGTCGTCTGAAATTAAGAAAAGGAGTTCGGAGGATTTCAATATCTAAGTACAGAACCGAGACCCAAACAAATGCCAATTTCATTACGAATCGTTTTAAAAGCGGAATCAATAAGGAGAATCATTTATCAAATTTCTCTGAGAAACGGTTTGGTGACCCATGCATTGGACACTTATGATCATGATCGACATTGTGGCTGGTCAAAATCGCGCTGAAGTTGATTCAAAACTTGGCTTGCTTAAAGTATAATAGGTTATCAAAACGTAAAGTGGCTCAAAAAACATATTGCAATTATATGACTAAACCGTCTTATCGACTATCCTCACTACCGATGATAGATTTAAAAACTTTATTTCATCATCAATTGCAGCAAACTATCACGGCTCTTACGCGTTGCTTTTTAAGTTAAGTAATATTACGTCACTAAAGATTTCAATGACCCTATAAAAATCCCACAAGTTTATGGATATATTGTATTTCATTCTGATATCAACGCCTATGTGGTAAGTTGGCCTTTGTTGTTCACTGACTGTTGGATAGCCTTTTGGATTTTACTCACTTATTCTTCCTATTTTTTCGCAGGAAATGGGAAAAGGAAGAAGAATTAAGAGCTTTTCGCCGTCAACTCGACTGGCGAAAGTCGATTATTATAGCTGCCAAAGCTTTTGTTGCAAACGACTAAAAGAGACTTGAAAAGGTTGGATAAATAAATGTGAACTAGTATAACTCTACAGAGCTATTTATATGAAAACAAGGGTTGATTTTCTTTGCATTGATGGTGGGCGGATAAGGTAGCGTGATTCTCTTTTTTCTAATACAAGTGTTAAAGGGTTGTACCAAATGCAACATTAACAGCTTAGAATAGCGACTTTTTCATTACGCCAAAGCAATTTTGCAAAACGATCCTTAGGTCTATTTCTGATTTAGTGTGCCAGAAATTGGGACAACTATTTTTTACAATTACTTTTGCATTCATAGCTTTATACAAGGCCAAAGAAGATTTAATTCGGACCGCTGACGGAGACGCAAAAGGTAAATATAGTAATACAATCAAAGGCATCTGAAATGAATATATTTCTTCTAGGACGTTAATTAATTTAAAATTGGCTCACGCACCAAGTGACGAAAAGGACAATTAATTGAAACTTTCACTTTTTCTAGACATGTTATTACAACAACAAGCTAAAGTCATTGTGGACGAAGGTGATTGTAATGTATGTTGGATAAGATAGTTCAGAAGAAACAAGGTTTGGCAAAATTTTTCTTTGCAAGGGCCGCATTCGGAAAATATTTCTTGTAAAGGGTCGAATTTAATGATGGATGACATTGTTGAACTGGAGAGGAAAAAAACCTTAATATTATTGTAACAATTCATAATTTAGATATTTTGAATAAAGTTTAAAAATAAATCGAAATTGTGTAGTTGTGAGAAAGAACTTCTCCACAAGCATGAGCCACACAGAATACTTTAGCGTGCCACATGCGACCCGTCGGCAGTATTTTCCCCATCCCCGATCTAAATAGTAAGGTTAGCAGCCTTGGAACAATTGATTTGCCAACAGATCTATGTCACTAAAAGTTCAATCACAATAAAATTAATGAAATAGAAGTAAATTTATTTCTGTAACGGGAATGATTTTTGCCTTAGTAAGGCCTCACACTCACTGACATCTTTTTCTGCTCACAGCAATTTACGTGGCCATGAACATTCTCATGAAAGACCCTGCTGTGAAGCAGTCAGGTATGTTCACCTAAGATTTACATTAATTCAATGGATTGGATTTCAAAGATTTGATTGAAGTCACCAATTTCACAAAAGTCCTTATCCTTATTATATATATGTATATATTAAATGATAATCTCTTTATATTTTTCAAATATTGGAGATGGCAAATGAATGGGCGTATTTTATTGTTTATTTATTTTCTAATAATAAAACTTACAAATAAAATCAACTCTGGTATTATCAACAAATTGTACGTTACGTGAGAAAGAATCCAACATTGAATTGTATTATTACTTAAACTTAGATATATCAAAGATTTTTTGACGGATGTAGTTCTGAGATATGATCGATTGTAGTACTCAATATCGATATTTCACGCAAAAAGTTGGGGTACCACTGATCTAATACATGACTCCAAAATGTCAAATAAAACGTGAATTGTGCGGCTGTCATCTAATGCCTGAAAAAGAACAGGTACGATGATATTACCTATATTCCAAGAAAGGGTTCGCGCGGACCCACATATTGGTTGCATGGCTACGATGATTCAAATATTAGTGCTTGTAAATGTAACACAGGTGAGAAAAGAAATAGAATTCAAATCTATACGGGTGCAAATATTTTCGTAGCTTAAAATGTTCGCGGGTGCAAAGGTAGCGTCGGTGAAAATGAACGTAGATGCGAATTTCTGTGATTGTTAACGTTCGTGGGCACAAATCATCAGAGGTTCACGCGAAAACTTCCAAGTGTACCATACGGTACTTAGATGGCGGTTAAATTGTCGCGTATTTCTATTTTCAATATCCTATACAAGGGGAAGGCGTGCTGACTGAAAAGTACATGCTGATCATGTGTTGCCTGTAGCTGTAACCTGTGATAATGCTCCCAACGCATCGCTTATTCTCCTCAGAACTTACTTGAGCGGGCAATCATTTTTTAGGTGTTACACAGTAAAATTTAACATTGATCGCACTAATGTTTAGTATGAAATGTTTGAAATAAATACTTTTGTTGATATTCTTGGTAATATCATTACCAATTGCTAATTCATCGATTTTATATTATTGATTAATTTGGTGCCAGCTTGCCGAGAATTCCAGCTGATTGTTTCATGACTCAGAATTGGGCTACTTAACGGGGAGAAAGTTAATTAAGTTTACCTGATCTAAAAGATTCCAAATGGAGGGTTTTACTTATGACGTCATAATATACATTTGAATTGTATAAATATCATAATTAAATTGGAGTTCAAATTCAGTATTTTGTTGAGGAAGTCGTTTCAAACGTCAAACCTTTATCAAAAATGGATAACAATTCTGAAACAAGAGGAGAGAATAAACGAGGCGGCAAGGTAGGTTGTTACTTCGAATAGGATAGGTGACAAATAGGCGTTACACTTGATCAAGTTCACTACTTTGGAACAATAGTTTCCGAACTTTCTTCAAGTGACCCAAATTTTGTAAAAGAAATGGAGTTCGTAAAATCTCGCGATCCAACGTTATACTCAAATACTAAACGACATGCAGTGCTTTTGTGATGGCAGAATTTGTTTACTAATTTAAAAAATAATCTTTCCCCTTTAACAGTTTTCCTCATTATTTATTTCAACATTAATTATTGTTTGTCATGAGCGATTTGTTGAAACCGTCGCGTGGCATTACTTGCGGAAAATAGATGCTTCGCAGGTTTAAGGCAGCGAAACTTCAATACCAAGTACAAATTAAATATACTAGAAATGAAAACCAATACCTTTTGGGTTTTTGTTGGAAGAATTTTCTGGCAACCAAGATTTGAATCGCGACCCATAGGTTGGGAATCACTGCTTTGAAAAATCAAAATAGGTGAATTTCAAACAAGGATTTATATTTTAATTTTGTTTTGAAACAATATTATTAATAATTTTGGACTTTTAGGGATTGAAAATTTGAGTGTATATGTACTATAAATCTCTGAACGTCTGGCGGTTTCGGGTCTTGTCCTCAAGAATATCCTAAATACTCATCAAGCAATTAGCCTACCAAATATACAATATATATATATACGTGATTTTATTGAATACTGTAGCCTGATACTGAACTTTATTTATGTAGAATACATAAATTTAAACTACGTCCAACGCAGCTAGTACGCAAATAAATTATATTTATCCACATTACAGAAATGGAGGCATTTCAAAGGCTTTGTGAAGATCTTCTTTTGTTTTGCATGTATTTTTCCGAAAGTAAGTTTGTTTTACGAGGTATGAATAGGTACCTATTGAGCTTTATTGATTTATAAACAAAGAAAACTACATTAAACATATAGCAATGTTAATTGCCTTCAAGTAAGACTTATGTTCTCTAATTGAATATATATACATTCCCTTAGAAATCTAAAACAAGAAGACGCGGAGATGAATCAGTTGGTAAGAAAATTATTGCTAGTATTTAGAAAGTTACATTATCGTCAATCGATATCACAAAACTTGGAAAATGGACGTAGTATTTTATTAGAAAATGGAGAACCCAAGTATTTATTTGTTGTGGAGGTGTGTTTGTTAATTCCGAAGTATATATATTTTTGTGGCAAGGTTAAACAATATTATTATGAATAAATATAAGTACAATCACCCAAATATCAATGGTCCAATCAGAGTGAATAATTACAAATATTTATGTTGCCTTTTAATATAAATATAAAATTTATTATTTTTATTTCGTTTGTATGTGTGATATGAAAGTATATGGCGATTTTAACAATTTAAGTTTTTTGTGACATGCAATTTTTTCGTCATTACTTTTTTAATTTTATTCAACTACAGATTGTGCGAACTTGACTGAGGAATATTTCTGTGAAAACGTCGAAAAAGAGATAGCAAAATGTGAGTGTGAAGTTTAATTAAATGGTTTCTAATAAATGTTGTGTTGACAACCTAAAAAATCAAAATAGAATAATTCAAACAAGTGCCGTAAAAATGTAATGATAACCTAATTGTTTTAAAAATGAGACATTCCTATTTCTACCGTGATCTCAAGTATGATTATCGGTTAGTATGTGGAGTGAGTCGCGTAGGAATTATATTTTTTTCTCTTTAAAATCTCAATGTTCACGCCCAAGCTTTAGGTGTAGACTAAGGGATGACATAAATGAATAAAGAAAAGTCATTTCGCACTAAAATCTATTCTACTTCTCTTCAAGTAAAAGCAAAGAATATACGTCGTAACAATGTTTATGTATCCTGTGGTAATTGTTTAAAATGAAAAAAAAATGTTTATTTTATAACCAGGTACGTTGAAGACTGTTGTGGTGGATCCAAAGATTGAGGATGAGAAATCAGTTCACAGCATAGGTAATGATAATACATTATACGAAATATATGGTATTATGTTTAATCCAGGCACTTTTACATGTTGTAATCATAAATGAATATGATACTTACGAAAAATGACATTAAAAAAAGATTGCACATGTTTCGAATTTTGCTATATTAATTACAGTTATGCTCATATTTAACTAAATTTATTAATTAAAATACCGTACTATAACAAATATTTCTAACTCGATTGCTCAAGAAAATATGTTTTTAACCTTGGTCATAACCGTCACTCGGTCAGTAACAAAATACGAAGGAATTGATGAAAGCAAGTGTCTATAAATATTGAAACTGTGTTTTCTGTATTTTAGAATCAGTTGCGAAGCCACCAGCAGGTCCAGTATCAAAAATGCTCCTGGGAGGAGGTTTGATAATAATATTTTTAACGAAATAGAAAATAATTGTAAAACGGAAAACTTGAGCAGCTCATCTTAGATTCTCATCATTACATGAAAATCCACCAATGTTAGTAAATGTCGATTTTGTTGATTGGTTTTTGGGTCTAATACGCTTTATTTCGACAAGATTGTTACAAATTTTTCTGATAAATTCTAAAATTAATTTCAGGTGATTTTCTTGTGGACCTTGAAGCCCAGAATTTAGTACAGGCTGGTAAGTTTTTAAATCAATAGCACATTCTGTTTTTCATTATATTATATATTGCAATGTTGAATGTTAGTTTCTCACCTAGCGGCTCAAGAAATTGCAACGAGCAAGATGTTGGAAACGTATAATCTGCAGTATTTAACTAACAAGAAATTAATGCTATTAATCAAGTGTTAACGGGTTGTACCAAATGCAACATTAAGACATGTTTGTGGATTATAAAAACAGCACAAGTTGAGGTGAAATATCGAGAAAAGGTTTGGAATAGCAACTTTTTCATTGCCCCAAAATCAATTTTGCAAAACGATCCTTAGGTCCATTTCTGTTTAATGATTTAGTGCCAAAAATTGGGACAACTATTTTTTACAATCACTTTTGCATTCATAGCTTTATACAAGGCCAAAGAAGATTTAATTCGGACCGCTGACGGAGACGGAAAAGGTAAATATATTAATACAATCAAAGACATCTGAAAAGAATATATATATTTTTAAGTCGTTAATTAATTTACACACCAAGCGACGAAAAGGCCAACTGATTCAAACTTTTACTTTTTTTAGACGTGACACTACAGCAACAAGCCAAAGTCATTGTCGACGAAGGTGATTATATTGCATGTTAAATATAATAGTTCAGAATTCCAAGTCCCAAGGTTGGGCAAAGTTTTACTTCGCAAAGGCCGCATTCGAAAAATCTTTCTTGCAAAGGGTCGAATTTAATGATGGATGACATTGTTGAACTGGAGAGGAAAAAAACCTTAATATTATTGTAACAATTCATAGTTTGGATATTTTGAAGAAAGTTTAAAAATAAATCGAAATTGTGTAGTTGTGAGAAAGAACGTTCTCCAAAAGCATGAGCCACATATAATACTATAACGTGCCACATGCGACCCGTCGGCAGTATTTTCCCCATCCACGACCTAAGTAGTAAGGTTAGCAGCCTTGGTACTTCTTCACGACACAATTGATTTGCCAACAGATCTTTGTCACTAAAAGTTCAAACACAATAAAATTGATAAAATAGAAGCAAATTTATTTTTGTAACGGGAATGATTTTTGCCTTAGTAAGGCCTCACACTCGCTGACATTTCTTTTTCTACTCACAGCAATTTACGTGGCCATGAACATTCTCATGAAAGACCCTGTTGTGAAGCAGTCAGGTATGTTCACCTAAGATTTACATTAATATAATGGATTGGATTTCAAAGATTTGACTGAAGTCATCAATTTCCTGAAAGTCCTTATCCTTATTGTATTAAAAGATAATCCCTTTGTATTTTTCAGATATTGGAGAGGACAAATGAATGGGCTTATTTTATTGTTTATTTATTTTTTATTAATAAAATTTACAAAAAAATCAACTTTGGTATTATCAACGAATTGTACGTTACGTGAGAAAGAATCCAACATTGAATTGTATTAATACTTAAACTTAGGTATATCAATGATTTTTTGACGGATGCAGTTCTCAGTTATGATCGATTGTAGTACTTAATATATTCCATCGCAAAATTTCAAGTCATGGGAACTTTTCTATATTCTATGGAATGAAAATAAATATTTCTGTGTTTGGTATAGGGTTGGCCTAAAATGCGTTGATAGCTTAACGTGGCTGTGGAGAAGATGCCGCTCAACTCGAGATTGACAATACTTTCCGAATAGCCTTTCGACTACTATGCTTGTTTTCGGTTAAATAAAAAAAGAATCTCTCTTTCGGTTGAAAAATAAATTCTCTTGCAAGATCCCCGCAATTTTATTCGACAGGATTCAGATGGAAGACGATCACCTGACTACATGCTGGCTCTTTTTATGTACAAATATATGAATGATACATTCATTCATTGCATGAATTACATAAGTGTTGCATGATTTAAGTCAAATAATTCTACAAGATAATGAGTTAGGATACGCCATGCTTGTTAAGCAAGGGAAAGTTGACAACATAGCCACAGTGGCGTAACTACCCATTGGATCTTGTGGATAAATCCAGGGGCGGCACGTTGCTGGAGGGCGGAAAATGTGGCAAAACGGAACGGAAAAACGTTTTAAATGAACCAAGGCAGTCACATTAAACGACCTAATTTACCACTGAAGCCAAAAAATTACACAAGATATACGTCTAAACCATGTGTTTTATGGCTCGTGGCCCCCTTCCAGCGCCTTTTTGCACTCGCGGCTTTCGTGTTCGCCATTCCAAAAAACAAAACGTGTTGGATTGTATTATGTGTTTACGACCTATTATGGAATGCAAAAGCCAACCACAGACAAGAAAATAAACGCTCTCCAGTATACAATCAAAGGTAAGCTTGCGCTTAGGACTGTCTGACGAGGTTTCTCGTATTAGGCGCAGTCTTTTTTTTATAGCTAGACGAATGTCAACATCAAGACGGTTTATAAATTTTGTTTTTGTGGTATGAAAATCGGCTTTTGCTCGGACAGAAACCCGAACTTAGTCAATGTGCGTTCCTGTCGAATCTAACTCGCTTGGCAGCAAAATAACCGATGCCAACGTGTTTCACCGGGGGTGATTTTTGTTGCGGTATGTTAGTCGTTGGTTGGACGTAATGATTTATTGCTCATTACATACGGACAATGCCAGCATTAATCACATTCTCTGGCACCTCTGTCTGTGCTTGGAGGCCCAGGAACGCAGCTATCCATGTGTTTATTCAAAACGGAACTGTAGTTCAGTATTCGTAATTGCGTCTATAATACGCTAGCGAAGGTTATCTCGCAGTCGAGTGGAATTGCCATTCTGTAGGTTAGACCGGACGGCCTACCGGCGAACTGTTTTCGTTGGTAGATTTCAAATTCCATTATGATCAAACAATTCACGCACAAGAAAGTGAATACACCCTGTGATCGCAAATAATCCTATTCAGGTAATGAAACTAACGAAGTCGCTATATAATAAATTATCAGCCTTGTGTCGTGCCCCCCCCCCCTCGAACTGCTTCGTTGTCCCTGTAGGGAGCCCCCGGATGAGAACCACTGCACTAGTACAATTAAGTGATTTTACATTTAAAAATGACGCTACAGCGCTGGACGTCCTGCAGTGGTTATGCAAACATCGTTTATGTGAATCAACACCATATTTATTCATGAATCTCAAGCTTTACCTCACTGTTGCCGTTTCTTTCACAAGCTGCGAATAACGAAGTCAATACCCGAGTTGATAAAGTTTTACTCGAGATCGACCATGGGAGAAAGCAGGTTGTCTGTGCCAGCAGCCCAGCAATACTGCCCATTGAAAGTGATTTTGCTTCAATGAAAACTAGACCTTGAATTTGGAACCGATAAAATTTACTATTCACTGCTTTATTCTGTTGTGTAGAATTTTATTCATATTTTACGACGGTGTCGAGGGGGCGGCATTTCGCGCAAAGATCCAGGGGCGCCACATTGCGTTGTTACGCCTCTGCATACCCACAAACTTCGATAAACCTCCACGTTAGGCCGTCAAGAAGGTAGGGTGTTTAGTCGCAGATGAGATAAAAGATTTTCGTCGCAATTCGATATTTGTCGAGTACGAATGGGACGCTAAAATTGGTATCTTCACGATAAACAAAAATTATCCAAAGTCGCAAATTGCTGCAGGTGAAAACCTGAACAGGTTCATAATAGAATCGATCACTCAGCCCAATGAGCATATATTATATACAATGAGTGGAAACTTGCAAAGATTTGCTCATTGTGGCATTGTTCCCTGCATTTTTACGTCGTCCAGCTAAATGGTTCGTTGCATATTAAAAAAACGCATTGCTCGCTGCCAAAATCTCTTGCTTCAGCCGAGTCGGGTGCGAAATTGGCCGTATTAACTTGACTTGAGGTCTTTAATTCTTCAATACATATTTGATTTTGGGTTTCGAAGTATGGTACGCTGAAAGCATACAACTATGAGCATATGCTTATTGGGAATGCATATCTATTAGACAGAAAACGTATCTACAGAACAGAATATGAACCAGTCGCCGAGAGGAGTGCGGTTATTTATGTATTTAATAATTGATATAACATGGGATTTACATATTTATCCAAGAGGAGAGGAAAGCCGAAAAGAAGGCCTAAATATATGGCGAACCACGGCCTCTCTCAATCATAGCTATGTGCTCCATATGAATTACATGGCTCTGCGAGCTATTCGTTTACTTATTAAAAATACTGATTTTAACTATAAATTACTGTGGGATATCTTGCCATTGAAAACAAAAGCCAGAAATTGGAAGAAAAGCAGGGAATGAAATGTGTGTATTACGTAATGGAGAAGCTGAGTTTGTTTCACATATTTTCATGTATTGTAAATTTACAAAAAATATTTATGAAGATTTTGTTTTAGATATATTAAAATTGATTAGAATACGAGGTGAGGCTACAAAGAAACGGGACTGACGTCACAGATTGCGCAACACGATTAACCATCGGTAATCAACACTTTTGCAGTGTGGCGTAATATGTGTTCTTTGTTTAACAGCTGTTTTGACACAATATCGCAATTATTTTTGCCTTTCAGGATCCATAAGTGAATGTGATAAATTTCTTGTTGAAAAAAAATGCTGTGCGAGGTCTGATTGAGTTTTTTGGCGATAGGGGGTTCAATTAAAGAATGACGACTGAGCAAAGAATTAACATTAAATTTTGTGTCAAACTTGGAAAAACGGCGACTGAGACTTTGCAGATGTTGCGTGATGTTTATGGAGATTCTTCCATGTTCAGAACAAGAGTTTTTGAATGGCACAAGCGATTTGTGGAAGGCAGGGAGGATGTGGAGGCAGGGAGGAGGTCAGGGAGGCCTTGCACTTCCACTACTGATACCAACATCGAAAAGGTTTGGCAGTTGGTTCGCAGTGACCGTCGCTTAACAATTTGCGTCATTGCCAACGAAATTGGGATGGACAAAGAAACGGTCCGCACCATTTTGGTTGACACTTTGGGAATGCGGAAGGTGTGTGCCAAAATGATGCCAAAGGCTCTTGAGTTGACTGAGGAGCAGAAAGCTCAACGATTGAATGCATGCCGAGTTGACATGCATTTTCTCAAGTTTGACACAAAATTTAATGTTAATTCTTTGCTCAATCGTCATTCTGCAATTGAACCCCCTATCGCCAAAAAACTCAATCAGACCTCGCACAGCATTTTTTTTTTTCAACAATAAATTTATCACATTAACTTATGGATCCTGAAAAGCAAAAATAATTGCGATATTGTGTCAAAACAGCTGTTAAACAAAGAACACATATTACGCCACACTGCAAAAGTGTTGATTACCGATGGTTAATCGTGTTGCGCAATCTGTGACGTCAGTCCCGTTTCTTTTTAGCCGCACCTCGTACATTTTGTTATCAATATGATTCTTGCCTATTATTTAATTTTAACGATCCTTTATATAGTCGTATAGATACTGTTGATTTGGATGCAATTATACTTTTGTAATCAATAGTGAGAAATATTTTATGACTGCTATTAACTATGTGAGCTATTTTTTCTGCAATGCAAAATGTTTCCTTCGTCTGCTATTTACTATGTGAATTAATTTTTCCGTAATGTAAAGTATTTCCATAACTGCTTTTACTATGTAGGCTGTTTTTTCGGTACCAGTAGTATGTGTACCAGGTTAGGTTACGATTCTCCTTATTTTTGTTCTATTAAAAGTTCGGGAATTGTCTGTGTTACACAAGTGAATATCCCCCTACCGATAGAATTTAGTCCATTTACAGAACTTGATATAAAATAGGCGAACAAAATTAGTTACCTTCATATTGGTACACATACTTCTGGAGCACCATTTTTTTTGTAATGTAAAATATTTAATATGTGAACTAATTTTTCTGTAATGCAAAATATTTTCTACAGCTTCTGTATTTTTTATATGTCACTTTCCACTTCATCGATAATACACATTGTTCATTTTTTGTGGAATTTTTGGTAACTTTACAGATGGAATAATACCGACATTCAGCTTTTTCTGTTTCACAACTGTAATACAAAAAGGTACTCTTGAAGTATGTAAACCCAGTTGGTAGACACCGGAACCATGTGTACCAGGTTAGGGTCTACTACATACAAACATTCCCAAACTTTTCAAGCCGCACCCCCGTTTTAGAATTTGTGAAGTCTTGCGCCCCACCTCAAAAATAATTAGCTAATATTAATAAGCTACAAATAACAGTAGTAAGGCGTAAGTATGTTTTATTGGAAAAACATGTGGAAAATACATGGATGGAACAAAATAAATGACAAGTTTTGATATGCATAAAATTAGCCAAGTCCAGAAGTCAGTATTTTAAACTAATAGAGAGAAAGAGTTTATTTCGTTCGTCAAACCATGAACATATATAAATTATAATAAAAAAAAACAGATGCTCAGGTGTTTGACTGGGAGACAACGTTACAACATTTCGGGTCATTTAAAAGGGTCGGTGTTAAATTCTTCAATACCTCTCATATACATTATTCACAAGAATTTTTGATTTGGAAAGTACTAAATAATCATGTTTTGTCCTAAGATCATCATTTATTCAGCTGATGAGTTGACATGTATTGCATATGAACTGCATAAAAATGGGTTAGCGAGGATACCTATTATTTGGAAAATTTGTCTACTAAAAATGAATGTAATAGGACATGGATTTTTTATAAGCGAAGATGGGAAAAATTCTATTATTATAGCACTTTAATTATAAACATTTGATAATAGTAATGAAAGCATGAGTAGATTTGTTTATACACTATAATTTGAACACATCAAATTATAATACTTGATTATGACTGGCAAGCACTTTAGCACTTTAATTATAAACATTTGATAATAGTAATGAAATCATGAGTAGATTTGTTTATACACTATAATTTGAACACATCAAATTATAATACTTGATTATGACTGGCAAGTGATTTGGAGGATAGTAACACACAATAATACATGATCAGGATTTGACCCTTCTCCAGCAGATATATATATGAAAAGTGCTCATGTACATATCTATATTCGGCTACAGAGCACGTAACATAGAATGAATTTTAAGGCGAAATATTGATAATATACTGAAATAGCAATGATACCCAATAGGTTATTTTTAAATAAGTATTACCGGTACTAAAAAATAAATAAAGTGCTCATATACATATAGATATTTGGATACAGAGCAAGTATCATAGAATGAAATTTAAGGCAAAAAACTGATAAAACACTAGAATAGCAATTATAATAAACCTTATGATACTTTTAAATGAAGTATTACTGAAAAAAAAATAAATGATGCAAGTATGATAAACATTTTGATATTTTTATAAAAAGTGTTACTAAAAAATAAAATAATAGATTATGGAGTTCCAGCAAGTGTGCTCATAACAAATAAAAAGATAGCAATTCATTTACTACCTTTTTAGTCATTTACTACTGATACCTACCTTTTTAGTCATTTACTACTGATACCTACCTTTTTAGACACTGATACCTACCTTTTTAGTCATCTACTACTGATACCTACTTTTTTAGTGAGTGATACCTATGATACCTACCTTTTTAGTAGGGCCCCCCGACTCGGCCGAAGCAAGGGATTTTGGCAGCGAGCAATGCGTTTTCTTAATATGCAACGAACCATTTAGCTGGACGACGTAAAAAATGCAGGGAACAATGCCACAATGAGCAAATCTTTGCAAGTTTCCACTCATTGTATATATGCTCATTGCTCAGCCTCACGAGAGTTCATGGCGAAAGCGAAAATCGGCTTCTAATAAAGTTGAAGCATTTGTTTTACGAAATAAAGGGGTTGCAGTGTTCGTGGCATTAATTTCATAAATGACGAAGTCCCGCGCATTCGGGAACATTCCCGATCCTTGAAGACCTGCCCGGTGTTGATTTCATTGTTTTTTTTTTTTTAGTCGTATTAACTACTTTTGCACATACTAAATTGTAGCAGCGAAATACCTTTATTCGCGCGCAAATTTGAGATGTACCGATGTGTTTTCATTCCTATCGGCGGAATGTAGACCGATATACCTACCAGATTTTTTTATCGGATCTTGAATGTTCAGTAGAGATAAGTATCATAATACGAGATAGGTGAATTCATCTAATTTTTACTATTTGTTTAAATGTACAATGTTTTTGCACGACGAAAAATAAATATCTGAATATGACAGATAGATTAGTGATGGTGTTGAAAACTGGAGATTTTTTTCGCCGTGGCGGGATCATGTTGGCAGATTCTACGACTCTTGAGCAATGCCGAAACGAGAACCGATTCTAACCGTCTTTTGCTACCAAAATTCTACATTAACATAATGAAAAAAACATGATAATTATGAAATAATCATCAATCCAATATTAGTGGATTCCCTGATGTGCAAAATATACTATTATAGTGGTACAACATCATGCGTGCGCAAGATGGGCATTTATCTATTCTATCATACATTTATAATAGCCAAACAGCTACGAAACTTCTCATCGAATACAAATTGCTAGGTGAAGTAAAAATATAATTATTTTATCATCTAAAACAGCTATGGTGATGGTGGCCTTCAAAACGAAACGTCTGCAGAAAACGAGAATATTTTTTTTAGGCGTTGAGACCAATCTTTGCATTCAATCTATTTAGCAAGCTGGTTTTTTTAGTAACAATTCTTTGTCACTGTGTTGTTTTTGCAATGGAATTGAACTAGGCCTACAGCATCACCGTTTTGCGTCAGGGAGTGTTTTTTTGTTTCATGTTTTGTAGGAAAAGCACAGTTGTGTTACACACACACGTCTCGCATTTTAATTTAAAAGGTAGAATGTTTATTACATTCAATTATTTACTTCAATTTGCTGTTTTTGTTAAATTGCTTTCAAAGTACTGCCAGATTGTAAATCGCCTTTTTCTGCGTTTTTTTCATTCTTTTTTGGTGGGCGGGCACGTACATTGTACGCTTTTTAAACTTTTTTCAAGTTATGCCCGTCTCCCAAGTATCTCTGCATTTTGTTTTGTCTGTTTACTTTTTGTATTGTTTATGTCAGAGAACCAAAATAAATGATCGATACTTACAAAGTTACAACAAACTAATTCATGGTTACATTAAATCACGTTATTTTTAATAAACCCTCAGTCTGTGTTTCAAAGTAGAATAATGTGCACTGTAAATATCGTTCATGGACAAGTATCCAGTCTGAAACGTAATTTAAGGTGATGATAACATATTATCAGCGTATCGGTATTGGCGAAAAGAGTGGTATCGGCAGTTGGCCCACCTCTAGTGCAAAATCAAATACCATGCGTGGCTTCAAACAAAGCTTAGCAAGTTGCGCAACTCTGAAGAGGAGAGAGGCGATATATTACAGTTACGCTGCTAATTTTCCGATTTCTGCTGGTGGCCTAAAGTCTGAACTAAAGCATAATGCAGTGATATGTGTGGATTCAGGCTGATATGTCGAGCTGATAGAGACTAATTGTCGAAATACCTGTCTCTAAAATCTGTGCCGAAATGAAATACCCAAAGACCGTGTACACACTGACATGCAAATACTTTTATTCACTTTTACTGTAAAATATGGAAACGTGTATGGGAGAGAAATCAATTTAATCCGATCGATGTGTATGCATCTCGGCGACAATAACCAAACGATATTTGAAGACAGGCCATTGGAAGATAGAGAGTATCTGCGAAAAAAGAAGGAACTTATCAAAAATATTCAGCTTTCGCGGAATAATTATTTAAAATTTTTGCTTTAGCGCAGGTGATCAATGCACAACAAAAAACGTCAGAAATGAATAAACATTGATCAAACGTCATTAAAAATGTCGTTAATGCTAAAGTACTGAAATATGAATAAGTAAGTCCCTCAGAATATGTAATAAATTGAAAAGTAGTATTACCATCAAGCATTTCCTTTCAATGTTGCCATTCCAGCTCTCATCATTTCATCTACCAAGAGTAGATTAGACGCAATAACTTGACTATAAAAAGAAAAGAGTTCATAAAATATATGAGAAAGACCCAAGAGTGCTATACAGCCAACTACTGTGCCAACTTTTATATTTAGGCTCACACAAGATTAACACAGTAGATGTTCGGACAGGCATAAAAATCAATTTTGGGCACTCCAAAAGTATGTGTGCCATCGTGTCAACATGGAGGTAACTACTTTTTTCGCCTATTTTACATCAAGTTGTGTGGAAGGACTGAAACCTATGGGTAGGGGATATATTCACTTGGCTAACACAGACAGTCTCCGAAAATCAGAATAAAATTATGGCCTAACCGTTACCTGGTACACATACTAAGGGAGTACCTAATTTTGAAGCAAAACAAAACAGTAGTCAACAAGAAAGAATAATATGCTAGCTATTGCATTCATAGAGCCTGCTTGTTTGTAATATATTACATATATTGGCATAAAGAGTGCGATACTCTAAGAGAATAATATTTTGCAAGTTGAAATACACAATATAACATGTACTTTTACAAGTACTTGTGGGACTTCATAAATTGTAGACTATTGGCTTAAAATATCAAGAGAGTTATGAAATGAAACAGGCAAACAGCACTTACCAGGAATTGAGTAATTGCTTCATGACGTTGTAGTTGTCAACGATTCCAGCATCAATAGGCGCTAAAACCTCTCCTGAATAAGGATTACAATTGAGCATGGTAGAAAAACCTTTCTTCATTATATAGTCAAATACACAAAATTTTACCGGTTTGAAGATCTATTCCCACAGCTACAGTCCCACCATTCGAGTTCAATTCATGTTGCAATTTTACAATGGTTTCTTGAGGATCCAATCCTGAGTTCTGAGCCAAAACTTTCGGGATAACGAGGAGAGCATCAGCAAAAGCCTGATAAAAAATGAGCATATCATATTGCATAAAATTGGATAAAAAAAGATTAATGATTCTAGCCCGAATTATTACCAAGTACACTAATTCAATTTCTATAACACTCTCTACCGTCTGGTACAGAAACAAAATTTAAATTAGGTAGGATAGATGTCATGATGGTTTGCCAATGTTATGAAGGTTTTGACAGCTGATGTCTTATGTTGGTAAGCTATATTTTAAATGCTCTCCTTTTTTCACAAGTGATTCTTTAACGGCAGACAACTAAGTTCGGATTTTATATTTTTGGTAAAAATCAAATTTGTTGTTTCTGTCTATTAGCGAGAGCCATGGGTAACGTTTCACCAGATTCAAGCGCGAGTTCCCATTGTAGCAAAGAGCTGATTGATATTCAAGCAGCACCAGATATCAGAACAGTTAAATTCGTTCGCTGCACATTACACATTATTAGAATTTTTGCATAGAACAGAGGAGAAAGAGCCATAGTTTACTATATATGATTAACAATAACAAGATCAACTTTACTTCATATTCTTAGGTTCTGCCATACTTACTTGAACTCCAAGTTGGGCTCTTCCTTTCACAGTAGGTTTGAACTTCATAAGTGCTGCATGGGCCGCTATCTCAAACGCACCTGCACCCGCAACGAAACAGCCTGTAACAAACAAATGCATCATTTTACTCCAAAAATATTCCACTTGAAAAAATGATGAATAAATAGGTTTGGTCAAGATTCTATTCAGAATATTTGAAGTCGACGACTCGAAACTCGAATAATTCGGTAGTCGACCAGAACATTGTAGTCAAAAATACTGCATAACTCAAATGAAAATTCGGAGCTCGAACACCCGATACGAGCGTGCGAGGATGCCATCCAAACCGTGCACATCGGCTCCCTCTCGACCATTCAACAAGTATCATTTCAAGTCAGATTGTTATTGGGATATCACATGTTAAAATCACATGTTTGTGATTCAGTGAGAGCAACTATTGAGTTAAGAAAAAATAACGTGAATTACTTTACAAGAATGGTGTTCGAGTGTCTGATCTCGTCTAACCAAGTGGCATGGCAAAGCCTATCGATTTTAAAAAATAGGAAAATGATAAAGAAAACTAATGATGCGCAGGGAATGGCAGCAATTATTGTTGTTTAGGTACACGTTTTATTACAATTTTGGGTATTTTGAAATGCATAAGATCGTATTTTTGGAACTCGAGCACCAATCTCAAACGAGTTATGCTCGACTACCGAGGTATCACTGTAGCTTTATTTATTTTATTCCAACAATCTCTAGATCCAAATGACTGGAAGAAAATGCATGAAGTGAAACTCCCAAGTCCCCATCTGTATATTGAAATTACTTGGACAATATCATAAGTATAATCACCATCATCTATAGCATTCTTCACAGCTCTTAAACCATCTCTCACAGCATCTTTGATTTGTGTTATTGTGTGACTGTTAGGTCCTCGAACGAGTATAGTAACACTTTGCGGATTGGCGCATTTTTCAACAAATGTATATTTGCTTTCACCCTGGAATAATGAAAGAATCAAGAACAATGCCTGAAAAAATATGTTAATCAAATATTTTTTACTGCAATGTTTGATGTCAATGCCGATTGTGAGTGTGTATATAGCGTATGCATCATCAATTTAATAAAATTAGTTTTCTGGTAGAAAGATATTTTTCATGTACTGGTTCATGCCGATTGCGAGTACATCTTGAGTGATGAGTATAAAATTAAAATCCAACACCCCTAATTAAAGAAAAAAAAGCCAGATTGACTACATAGTAGTGGCTGTTATGGAATAAATAAATCAAAAATTCTAGATAGAGACATATTGTCCAAAAACTGTGCTTACCAGAACATGCTCATACACAAGACCAGCTTTACCGAGGCATTCTGGTGTTAAATCATCTACAGAATTCATCGCAATTCCCCCACAAGCTAAGACAAGTCGTTCCATATTTCTAAAAATAAAAATGAAATCATGATATTTACTTGGCACCCAACATCAGCTTATCATGATATTCACTCCCAACAGTAGCTTTTCTAAAAGAATATGGGCAACAAAAACTAAAATAACATGAAAGTCACAATACCTTATTGCTCTTTACCACTGAACATGAGATATCGAAAAGTACAATAATTAAATCACGCACCTAATAAAAACTCGATAGAATTGACAATCGAGAATACCACAACACTATTAATATCCAAGGAATAATATCATACATACCTTCTCTTAGCTCTTCTCAATGCAACAATGCCATTCTTCGCCAGCATATCAAGAGACATTGGATCAATACCCTGGGTTAAATACAGATTATTGTTCCAAATGCTGGTAATCTTTATACATAAATTACAGAACCGGACTCAAACCTTTAAAATATTTGTGAATACGTCAATACGTTTTTCACTGATGTTTGCAAACAGCTGCATCACTCATTTATTTAACATCAATTCAGAAAAAAATGGACCCAGTCTAGACATTTTTATCTAATCCCAGTCATTCATTTAAGTATAATAGAATTCTCAGTGTTTTGATTCAGTGAAAAAAGAGAGATACTTTTATAGAAACAGCAACAGAAATAAATGCAGATTAAAGAATAACAGATTTTGAATTTATACTGAAATCTTCATTTTCTAAAAAATTATATATACAGTATCATTTTACCTTCTGGTTTACAACAACAAATCCAATTTCACCATCACCACTGCTTTTCGCCACCTAAAATTGTGTCAGATAATAAATTACGTTGAAAATGAGTATGAAAAATGTTTAAATGAAAAATATGGGTCATTGTAGTTGTGCTTTTCAAACAAAACAATCTGGCAGTTTATCATTAGATTTTAAACTGACCTGTTTTTTTAATTCAACAATTTTTGCTACTTTATCGTCTGTAAATTTTCGTTCTGCAGCTACGAGTTTCTCCCTTTCTTCTGCTGATTTGTAGAAAAATCCTGAATTAACTTCACTGAAAAAAAGGTCATACTGATAAGTTATTTGGTCGCCAACCAACGCAACGCAGGTAAATCTATTTGCGGTAATAGCAGAACAGAATACAGTAATTCAAGTACTCTAGAACAGGTACTTTACCTTTTTTCATATTCCATGGAAACATTACATGTGAGGATATAAGCATTTTCTACACGTTTCTTCATATCTGGATGCCGAGCACCATGATCCATCACCAAACCTTGCACAAGTTTTGTATCAGAATCTACTCTGTGTTGCATTTCCATAATCTCAACCATATGAAGATTGATTGCTTCATTTTCTTTTTTTACTGCTAAAACTGCATCAACGACAACCTTGAACAAAAATTTTCAATCGTAGTTGAAAGGAGTTTCTAGCAATGTTTATTTAAATGCAAATAATCTTTAAAATCAGCGCTCCAGAAGTGTGTGTACCAACATGGAATTAACAAATTTTGTTCACCCACTTCACATCAAGTTGTGTGAAGGGAATGAAACCTATGGACAGGGGGGTATATTCACTTGGCTAATGCAGACAGTCCCCGAATTCATAATAGAACTAAAATGAGGAAAATCGGAATAAAATTATGGCCTAACCCTAACCTGGTACATACACTACGGGAGTACCTTAGATTCAACTATAAAATGGGGAAATTCTCATTTCCTCAAATCTGCAAGATGATTTTACGTCTAACCCTAAAACAATCATTTAAAAGGGCAAGGCAGCAAAAGCATTCAACACCATTGTCACACATACCTCTGTAAGTTTTTCAGCAAGTTTCTGGTGAACTTTTGTAGCAAGTGAAGTTCTGGCAACATTTAATAGTTCATCTCTATTCATTTCCTTAAATACTCTCATTGAATCTAAAACTTCTTCAGCCTTAACTTTTGCGAGCTCAAAGCCCTCCGTAATTATTCTTGGATGGACACCCTGCAATTAATAAAAAAAAGTCGGCTGAACAATCCAGTAATTTATCGGATACCATTTGAAGTCATCATACCAATAAGTTATGATCAGGACAAATAACTGAAATTTCTTTTTATCAATTCTACATTTGTCTCTTAACAAGAAGTTGTATCTTATTAATCTTACATTTCCTAATTGGCATGATATGAATTTGATCAAAGTGGGCTACTAATGCAATTACTCCATAAAAATAGAAGATCCTCCATTATCTTTTTAAACATTCTGAATCTGCTTGAAATAAAATCCAAAAACACTACTAGAATCTGTTTAAGTAAAATACAGTTTTCAAAACTAGGATTTAAAAACAAATTTACCTCCTGTACATATAAGTCTGCCTGTTTAAGTAATTCACCGATTATGAGAACATTGGAAGTTGTACCATCACCAGTAATATCATCCTGTGCCGTAGCAACCTATAAATAAATTTTGTAGTTCGCAATATATTCAACTAATTAATTTACATAACTCTATAACCTTTGGGCATATTGCATGAAATGAAACTGACAGATGAATTGCACTACTTCATTTATTAAGCCAATTTCTTTATCTCAAATTTGCAGCAAACTTAGTATCTTCAATCACAATAATGTGATATGTAACATGCTTTCTAAAAAAGATAGCATTAATTAAGTGCCAAAACAGAGTCAATGTAATTGTTTGATCAGCTTATCCTAGTTTCTCTGCCTCCAGTTATGAGTGAATATCTTATTACCGTACATTTATTTGACTCTGTATATAAAGGGCAGTAGGAATGGTTAATGATCAGAAATACACAATCTAGATAAATCAATCTATCGCCCAAGTATTAATGGGGCTTTTCCTGACCTTTTTTCAAATGGAAAAGTAAAAGCTTGAAAATCGGATAATTAAATTTATAGGCCTACTTTAGCTATTAAACTGGCTGTAGGATGTTGAATCTGCATTTCATTCAATAAAACATTTCCATCTTTTGTTAGTTTTATGTCTCCAGACCCAGATACAAGCCTAAAAAATAAAATGTGATAAAATAAGAAGGTTACCAAAATTGGATAGAAAACATCGCTTGAATTTACAGAAATATACTTTCATAAAAAGTTTACAACTTAATACAAGACAGTCAATTTTGATAGGCCTATACCAGTAATGAAGAATCCAACAACAAGTCTGCATCTACAGTTGTTTTATTCAAGTATCATTTGGAACAGTGGTTCTCATTAGGCCGCACCCCTTTTTTCGAATTTGTCATGTCTCGCACCCCACCTCAAAAATAACTACCGTGGCTAACAATAAGCTACAAATACCAGATAAGGCAAAAGTATGTTTTGTTCCAAAAAAATGTTGAAAATGCGAGGATGGAACGCAAATATCATAAATAAAGGAATGTAAATATCCAAACATTTGATAACCACTGATTTAGAAGAATGTTATCTACTTTTAATCTACATGACAAAATGTATCCAGATGAAAAAGTTGGATGTATTTAAATTATTTAATCAAACATCTTTGATAATCCTTCATTTTCAAACCTATGAAATCATTAAAAACCGCTAATTTCTTACATTTTCATCGTGCCTTTAGGCCCCAAGTTTGTCCTCAGAACATCTTGTAGACCTTTTGCAGCACTAATATTGATTGCAAGAGCCTGTGTTGAACGAGCTACTTCTGCTTTCGGATTTAGAGACTTTATTGCCGACATTGAATATGTCAATTCCAATAAATATTATAACTTTAGAAAATTAGGCTTCAAAATAAGTGGAACAGATCATTCAGTATTCATCAACTAAGATGACTTCACTAAGATCGAAAGTCCCTAACACAAAATTCATTAAAATGTGACCCTGCAGTTGTAAAGGCTTTAGTTATTCTACTGAAAGAAGATAAAAAATGGCTTCAAAAGAGACCAAGACCTCAAATTTTCAGTAGATAAACCAAACAATTAGTTGGGGTATGCAAGACTAACTCCAGAACTCCCAAGTCCTCTTAGGGACTACGGCAGTACTATACAGATCAAGAGACATTGTCTCGTTTCAGAGAAACCCATTTTACCGATGATCAGACACCCCTTCTGGCTTCTTTGGGAGACGTCTGGACATTGTTGTCGCTCAATATCAGTAATAATACAGTATAATGAAGTTGCGCAAAATACTACAAAAAAGCGCAATCTAATAACATGTACCTATATTGCAAGAATGCTGTGCCAGAAATACAGATGATTACCGTATACTACAGTAGTCTACTATGTAATGCAGTACGGTACCGGTCTGCCGGTATAGAATAGTTCTCCGATTCCAAGATGTTCAGACATTCCGTCCAATAAAACGAACATCCAATTTGTCGCGAAAACGAGGGCATCTAGCGCGACTGCAGATGCGTTTGATCGTGTCATGCTTGTCTCGATAATAATTTAAATCAATCATACAATACAGCAAAACACCAGTACCTAATATCCTAGTTTGGGAATGATTCAAATTCATTTTCGCTGCATTAATTTAATTCTCATATGGCACGGCAGCTTTACATCACTTTTGCACATACAGACATCACTGCAATATACAATTAGCCTATACTGAAAACAGCGACACGCCCGATACCGCCTAACAACTATATAAGCAGCAGCACGTGCGATATGAAAACGATGAAACATTTTGTTAAAACCGTTATTGCTATGTTCACGCGCCACTGCATACTGGTTCTAGAAGATTCGAACACTGTGATTGATTGGGGCGAACAAAGTCATCATCATAGTTAATTTTGATGCAATCAATCAGCCTCCAGAAAACGCAAAATAAATTTATTAAAGAAATATAGACACCAAGCAATGTCTAAATCAAACTGTCGAGTAGAAACCCCACTGAAAATCTCGCGCTCACTCACCAATATACAAAAATGGCTCAAATAGAAACGGAAAAGATTCGAGCTATTCAATTTGAATCAACTTTATCCTATGTACGCAAGCTATATATTTTTAATTTGAATATATGTTGTTAATATTTAGCCACTGAAACAGACAAATTGAAATTTTTAGTACGTGAATACGTGTAAACATGACACCAGTTTGATTTGAGGCAAGGGGGCAAATACGGTCATATAGATTATAGCAAGAATACGGTGGCTGACTCGGCGTAGCCGGGGAATATTTCAAACGTCATTGTCATTCCCAACTGAATTAGAGGCACTGGCAGTATGACATACAACTTGTAGACAACGTCTTTTTCGTCCTTGATTCGCCAAATTTTAGCTGCTTTTCCAACACCCATACAATGCTAGAGTTGTCAGGTATTATAAGAACACATGTTTCTACGCATAAATTGACGCATATTTTGTTATTTGTGTCGTGATTTAAGTGTCTTCGGCCAGAATTGTTTGGTCTTTAGTTTCAGTGATCCTTATTCTACCAAACGATCCAATCGAGATAGTTGAGTTCAAGAACCTGAATAACAGCGGAGTAAATCTGTCGAGAACTTCTTTGGGATCAAAAACCGAACACGAATTTAGCAGGAGCTTTTGTTAGTGCTCGAGATTAACCAAGTGTTGCCCATCGTGGCGTGGCCAGCATCAAGCTCCCGAACTCGTAATAGAACTAAAATAAGGAAAATCGGAATAAAATATTGGCCAAACCTGGTACACATACTATGGGAGTACCATGTAAACAAACAAATTCTTCAGCTTCATTTAATGCCTCGTTAACCTCAAAAAATCTTCCCGGTTGAGAAAAAAACTCAATGAATTTTGACTCCTCAATCATAAGTTTGAGGGCTTCACTTTTCCTTTTCCCAGCCAGTGAATACATGCGCTCCTACCATAGCCTTTGCTTGAATTTTTACTCGGGAACAATGTATGGCACTAACATGAATAACCCTCCTACCTTTACATGGCACTAACATGAATAACCCGCCTATCTTTAACGCCGCCGGTTTATTCAGCTCTGCTAGAAATCTCGAATGCTAGTTTATTGTAAATGCCACTAACCATTATGATTATGACTGTAATTTACAAGCCATTTATTGTTATGCATGCTATTTAGTGGGACTTCTGTCATTTCTTAGATTGAACAATTCTGTTCAAATTTGGCTTGTATGTCGTTGTAGCCAATCGAAGCAGTCCTTTCACAGTCAGTCAAAACTAATCAATGCTTTGATTTCGCGTGCATTAGGGCAGAAAAGACAGATTCGCAGACGTATGTTTCAGTATGTTCCCCAGCTTTTCCATTTAGGGGGGGGTGTTTCGAAATTTAGGGGGTGGTAAATAATTTGCTAGGCTATTTGTATTCTTAAAAAAATGGTATGTATTTAAGAAACGATGTACAAGAGGGGCCTCCCAAGTTGATTGATGGCGAGCCAAAATCCACAGCAGAATAAAATTGTAGGGCCAGAAAAGGGCAGCGAGGAAAAATGCGGGACGGCACGGCTGGGGTTCAGGGCGCGCCTAAGCGCCCTGAGAAAATTTTGAGAAATAGGCACCAAAATAGGCTCTAAGCTTGATTTTAGATACACCTAGCATCGCAGTTTGTTATGTAATGAAATCAATAATTATAATATTTAGCTGATAGAACTCCCGGGAAATAGATAATAAAGCAAGGCTTTCAACCGTAACTATATACTACTAGGTTTCAACAAGTAATTTGCAACTGATAGTGACTAATGAAGTTACTAGCTCATCTGGCATTGTATGAATGGCTACTTATGGCTTGTTTTGTTATACATTTCACATTTTTTTTAACATGTTTGTTTGAACTTTGTATGAATTATGCAATGAATTAAATTTTGAAATACGCGCGTCAACTGATCATAATGGCGCATAATGTTGTATTCCTTCAGAACTGAAATATTTTGTTGGTAAGAAGACAAATCGCTGAAATTTGATTCTTTTCAATAAAAAAATGAAAACGCTGTCATTCATCTAAAAAACGTCTGTTTTCGGTGCCTAGTTTTCGTTTTGTGACATTATTAAGCCTTCCTAATATATGGCTGATATCTAAAATACTGCAGTGTGTAATCCTAATACCCATACGTATACATAAGATACTGATATAATTCAATTGTTACGAAATAAACGTCCTTAAACTGTGATAATGATGTAACAACAGACGGTATCTAAAACTCAAAAGGTACCACATGAAGGGTTAAACTATTTCACTCAACTTCGGCGGGCCATTTTAAATCGTCACGCGAGCCGTAATTGGCCCGCAGACTGCGGTTTGGAACCCCTCATCTACACTGATGAATATGCCATAGGCGTTATATTTGAATACAATTATACTAGAGTTAGGAATTACAGTGTGGAATCTCACCTCAAAATTAGGGGGGGTGTTTGAAATTTTAGGGGGGGTGTTCACCCCCTATAGGGGGGGTGTAGGGAAATCACTGGTATGTTTAACCAAATATTGACATCCTAAGCGCAGCTCGTATTTTTTCATTGGCATGCTTTTCCATAACTTAATGGTCCCTTCCCCAAAGCGCATTTCGGTTGGTCTTCGCCTTGAAAATAATCTTCAACTCAGTTGCAGCCTCATCTGAGACTAGAGGGAATTTCAAACGATCCGTCTCAGAATTAAATGAGTCGTCGACACTTGTGACGTTTTATATGCACTTCAATCAAATGGTAAATTGTGCGTTTGTCGCCCAACTTCGTTTTCGATACGATTATGACAGCATTTGCTTCGTAGTGCAATAGAGGCGTCTCACTAGTGACTACAATTTTATTGTGACGCAATTATGAACGATGGCGTGGTGAATTGAATGAAGGCATTTATGTATCATTGACGTAAACGAACAGTGCACGATAAAATGCAATATGTATAAATCGAAAAAGCAAGATGAATCGTAGATTTTTCACCGAAGTGGTATCCTCGTCTCTCTGAATAAATTTTATTTTCTCTCGTTTGGTACAAGGCTTCACGCTTAGCCCTTTTGTCTTAGTCTGCATTCTACTACTAACTGAGGGGTATGTATCTATTACAAGATGCACAACTTTCATGAGAAATTTCCCCAAACTTTTTGGGGGTAGTGCGGCGAGATCTTCAAATGTTTTGGGGATATTTCTGTGATTGATGTTTTGTAGAACGGCCATTGCATCCAAACCCATTTACTTGGTAATAATTTATCAATAGAGGATGGTACCTTGTGGCTTGAGTATTGTATGAATTTTGCTTTGGACGTCCTCATTAGGCCTCCGTCTGTGTAAGCTAACGACAAGGGCAAAGGTCCGAGGGAGTATTTGAGCAAATTTTTAATTTTGATACCATTCTCCCTTCCCTAATTGCATGACGCGCCAGCAGATTTCTTTCAAACTTAAATCTGTCTCATTTTGACTGTATTATGTCTTAATTATTTTTCGAACACTTGAGAACGATTTCAACTTCAAATCACTTATGGTATTATGAAAACCTCCTTATTTGATAAAAGCTGATTCTTGCAGAACTGAGTGAAGCAGAAATATTCTCTCACTTCAGCAGTCATAATATCACTGGCGATTACTTTGAAAACCTCGACTCCAGAAACAACATGTATAAGAAAAGATGAAGGCTGAAATGAGCGTTTTCTCTCACGTGGAAGTCTTGCTGTAGGTTTTAAATCAGCGTCACATGCCGATTTGGTACACGATGGAATACAGATAGAGCCCAATCAGATCTTATAATGTAGCCAGAGCAGTGTCGTGCTTTAAAACAATTGGACACATAATGCCCCAGACCATTGAAGAGGGTAATCAACGAGGTTGATCCAGTCAAATGACGGACTGCCATAGCAAGTGATACCACATGTGCTGGGACATGTTCATTTTTCCGCCGTTAGAGAGGTAAACGATATCCTGACAGATGGGGTAGATTTTTTCAGACGTTTTTTCTTCTATATATACACAAAAAAGACCAGAACTGAACCTAGTTATCCAACTAAGAAATTTACCCAGCAAGTTTGTACACATATTTTCACCGCATTATCATCGAAGTGCCCTGAAGTCGAGGAGGCCAGTAAAAATAAGAGTCATGATTATTTATAACCTTTCTGTAGATACATTGCGTAAAAAAATATTTTCCGTATATTAGCGCAGTTGAAGGAGATGCAGGTGGTTTCGATCACGTTAGTAGCTAATTCTCAGAATCGTCTTCAGTTTCCGTATCCGAAACAGTGAGCATTATGATCGGCAGCGGTTACTGTTTCTTCAATGACATCGCCATCTAAAATAGTATCCACGATCACCAGATGATGGCACGTCGGCTTTTTGGACCGTATAAATGCAAGTTGAGAAAGTCTTTTATCAAACGCCCCTTTATGTTGGAGGTACGGTAACCAGACGAGTCAACAAGCTCAAACTGATTGATGTACCTCTTGAAAAGGGTGTTTAAGAATGTTAAAAACGAAATATCTTCTTACCCTTGGTACAATGAATTCTTCGCACAATTTTTTGAATGCTGTAGCATATTGCATATTGACTGCTCTTTCTTTCCTATCATGAATCGAGTATAACCTCGATAGCAACTTGAACGGTACCGGACTTGCACTCAGATGCACTAGCATCAACATCCCGTTGCTGGAGTAGCAAAACATGAAACTGATGTAATCCACGTGAGCAAACGAGGGATATAAAAGTTTATCAACGAAACATTACACATAACAATTATAACAGACGAGTTTGAAGGTTATATTTCAAACTCACCTCATCCTTTCGCTTAAATCTTGCAATTTCGCATATTGCACATTTCACGGAAAATAAGCGGCTGTTCAATTGTTCTGAAACCCTTTGTGGGTATGGAAGAGCGTAGCAATATTTTAGGTGGTGTAAGTCGGTCGAAATCAGGCTTTATTTTCAAATTACCAAATTTTCGGCCATTCACTGCCTGTCATCACATTTTTCATCGCACCTTACCGGTACTGTACATAATTTATGAATACACTAGTCTATCTAAAGTTCTAAACTGTTTGCAATTGTTACGATTTAGATTCTATCATATATACCTTTACGCTTTTCTTCGCAACTTCTTCTTCAACCCATTTTATTTTTACAAGTATAGCGCTGATAGCAGCAGCGATGGTAGCTTGCGTTCAATTTGATAGACGGAACATCGCCCCTTTTCGTTTGCAGTTCAGTATCTAAAATGATGAATAAAATCATATTTGGAACAACATGCGTGTTTTTCAGGGAATAAAAATACCACTAAATACCGGCTAATACTACACATACATAAGGCATTCAACTGGTGCATTCCAGTCCTGCAATGTTTGCACACTAGACTACATCTACACTGAATCTTGATAAATCACACAGTCTGAAACGCTCTGTATATTTTAAAACATCAACCGTCGGCCTACAACTTGATAGGCTACATGAATTTTCAATCTATTCCAATACTACATTTTTTCAACTCCTGCATAACTTATCAGTGCTGGGCTGCCCAGGTACTTGTACCAGGTAACTCTATGAATATAGACCAACTGACATCAGTAAAATTGGTTACTTTCCCCTCTTTTTCACAACGTGCATTACACAAACGACCATTATTTTCCGAATAAAATATGCTGTAGTCTATATAGTAGTATAATTCGGATGAATACTCACGAATCATTATTAAATAAACTTTTCATACAAGCATGAAAATATCCCTCGTTACTCAACGCAAAAGCGAGCACTAATAACTGAAATTTATCCGACTAATAAAATCCGCTAATAAAATAAAACAGCTGATTGTTACGTCATGCAGAAGTCAGCGTTCATTTGCCACTGTTGCCGAAAAAGCGGAGAATATAGAACAGATGATAACAAAAATTCCTTGAAGTAAAATCGTCTTTTTCGTATTATGTGGCAGAATAAAAATTAGCGATACCTTGTGACGTGTCCATATATTTGAGCATAGCTCTCTTGTTTATCATTATGTTGGCACGCCAGGTAATCCGAAAAGTGTTCTCGAAGCGTCTTGGCTTCTACACCAATAACAATTCCCTATAATTTTCTCACCAAATTCTATTTGGGACACCAGTATGAGGGAATTAAAGACACATAAAGTGTAAATCGGAACTGGGTAATGTGAAATGAAGATTTGGAAATCACTGTTCTAAGCGGATAATATACGGGACAAAAGTACTAAGCATATAGAAAAATTGAACAAATATCAGTTTTATTAAATTTTAAATCGGTTTTTATTCTGGAACAAGCTTTAATAATTTAAAAGCGTTTTAAAAATGAATAATAGTTCAATGTTAAATTTCGAGGCCTCTAAGGCTTGATGCCCCCAGGCATCAGCCTACTTTGCCCAATGGTAAATCCTACCCAGTGTATGGCCCTGGTGGAGCATGATTCCGCTTTTTTGTAGAGCGTACTTCACTGTGATTAACCTCTTGCACTCCATTTCCCGAGGCAGAATTGTTTTGATTTTATCATGCAAGTTGATTCTTGCCGCATTTTGTATTGCCAACAATGTCAAAAACGCATTTTGCAATTTTGTAATAACCATTCATTTAGGAAATGAAACATCTTGTTCTGAAATCTTCACACTCTCATGGTTTGTTGTAAGTGGATTACGAGCAGACTCACGGTTTAGATTTTTCACTTGCAGACATTTGAAGTTAATGTTTGATTGCAGGTATCACAGATAACTTTGCAGCAATAGTAAAACTTGCATCCGCATTTGTTTGCTATATTTAATGCCTTGATTTCGAATCCTCTACCACAGCATAGATTTTCACATGATCCAAAACCAATTGTGTGTGGCCGGCATTCGCGACCCTTAGTGGCACACAGTTTAGTGGTATGCTTGAAATATAAGAGATCTGTGTCTTTTATAACATTGTGTGAATTGTCAGACGGAACAAGCCAGTGGAACTCTCTTTTGCGTCGGATCTTCACCTGTAAACGGGAGTCAACGTTGGATATGACCAATTTTTTTAAATAATTTATTTTCGTACCTACCCATTTTGCGGTGTCATACTTTTGTCTTAATATCCCCGCAACGTGTGAAAAGGCAGGCAAACTTCTCCAACAAGTTGTCAATTCGCAACCTCCTGTCGCTCCATGGCATGCACATCGGTGCTGCATATTGCTCTTCAAAACCTTAAAGAAGATAATAAAAAATCGTGTACAAAAATATAATGTATTGTTATAAAATATAACGTCATTTACGTTTAGCCAGACCACAGATAAAGATATTTTGAGTAATTCACAAAGACTTAGCGTCGAGCTCCGATATAATTTCTTTACCAATATTTTTGTCAATTATTGTCAATTTTGAACGGGAGTAAATTTGAAGTTTTTACAAACAGAGCTGGGTCTTTTGTACAGATCTCCCACCAGCGCTCAAAATGAGAAATTAATCCCAACTGGATAGTTACTAATTTATTATTTTAAAACGTAAAGTTTTTTTTTTCTGAAATCAGACATTTAGGAATTAGTGACGGGAGATTTGTACAGAAGATCCTTCAGTTGTATATTGCAGCATAACTGATAACACGTCACAGAAATAATGGATATATGCTTTCCGTGACAGTATTTTGTGTGTGACAGTATTCAGTATGATGTGTGTTGAGCATAGGGCTGGGCATTTTCGAATACCTGATGATTTTAGAATCGAATCGAATATTTTTTTCGAATCGAATCTCGAATACTTGGGAGTCAATGAGACATATGTAATTGTATGCAACTTTTTATTGTCATTGGTCTCGTCAACACATGAATTAGTGAAAACATAGAATACGTCACTAAGACATATTGTTGGGCGTTCACACACTATAAAAAAAAACGCGTTTTTATCAATACCTTACTACAAAAAATAGTCATATGTCAGAATTGCAGCGAAAAAATTTGGCTTCAATAAAAAAAAATCGGAATCCAGGTCATTGGCGGAAAGAAAAAACAAGATGACGGCGATTCGAGATTTTGTTCTGAATTGATTCGAATAATTTACTATTCGATTCGAAATGCCCAGCCCTAGTTGAGCATCGATGAATGCACTGGAACTTTGATTCAGATTGAATTCTCGTATTTATACTGATTGTACCTTTACAGTTAACAAAAGTAATACTCACAATTCTTCCTACTTTGTTATTGTGTAGGTTTGTAAAAACTTTATTTTGAAAACGCCGAGTTAATTTCGCAGACTTAGAACGATTGCGTCCATTAGGTTCCTCTGATTTCAAAGATAACTCCCCAGAATTAAGAAATGCTCTTGAGAAGTATATTCCCCAATCAACATTGTCCGAACAGTCAGACCATTGGAACGCATCACTTTTCGGGGCAATTTTGTTCCAACTTTTGTCACATTTGCACCCATCAATGTCTCCATTACTGCAATGTTTTGTTGATGTATACACGACAGCCGCTGAACTAAGTGCGTGTAAGAACGCCGACTCGCGACTACCTAAAAATCAGCAAAAATAAAAAAGAAGATATTATATTTTTTTCAGAAGTTTTGGTGGCAATTTTTTAACAATCCATATCCTATATTTTTAACATTATTCTACGCAAGACAGGTACAGTAACAAGCATTTGGCATTACCTTTTTTCGGTTTGAATCTGAATAATTTCTTCATTTTTGACAAGGAACAATCCCAGTTTCGCTGGCGAAGCTGATTTTGACATTCTTTGATCGTCAATTTCGCCGCAGAAATTATCGCCACCATACTACTTTGAAAATCTCGACAAATCTGTGAAATCAAACATCAGAAAATTTTAGTTTCACATTTACAATAGAAATCGTGCTTGTAGTAGTAATAGTCGGAAGACACTTGATATATTGGTCACTGTGTATCTAAAGTTAAAATATACAAGAGTTTTTCGAATTACGTTTTCGAATAAGTTCAGATAAAACCACTGTGACGTAAATTTTGTGACATAATCTATAAAAAATTCATATTCCTGGAAGACACATTTATATATATATATAAAAGTCTAGATAAATATACCAAAGTATAAATCTCATATCATTTGACAAGTTTGAACTTTATATGTTTGATAAGAAGCAGATGGGCATGGAACGTTATCTTCAGTTCAGTCAAAATTAAAAATACGCAGTTTGTTCCTATCGGTGACAATAGTATTAAAATTTATAGACTGATCGCTACCGATCGGAGCAGTTGTCAAGAATATTTAGTATTTCAAAATATTCACACAAAAAGTGTTTAGCTTCTTGTTTGGTATAAAATATAATCACAAAAATACAGATACTCACTTTTCGCTGTTTTTGCTTCAAATACGAGACATTATTGCACCATAATTTTGTTATACCATCGTGATCTCCCTGACTTAATTGTCTAAATATGGGATTTTTGTATTACTGGCATTTTCCTAATGAGAATAAAATGTATAAACAAAATACTTACAACCATCGGAGCTCGTTGGAAACTATATCTCTGAACTGCGTAAGCAAAATGTAAAGCAGTATAAAGTATACCTTATTCATGCCTGCTATTACTTGTATTCGTCTTAACAAAAATACTGTCTCTTCATTTGCTTTTGCGGTTGCACAATCTTTAACAACTCATTTTATACTAATGAATCCAATTAGCCTCCTTCATGTTACATAATATACTACAAAGTGCGATATATTTTCAACGCCCCTGTTTCTAAATCGACTGGATCCTATCAGGTTGTGGTTTAACGATGCTTCCAAACTGTCATTTTGATGCAAAAACTATTACGGATATCTTTTCGCTATTTATCGAGCAGATTTATGAAATCCTCCCTCACGTAATTTTGTAGTCGATGCCAAAGCGTTAACAGATATGTACATCGAGAATGATTAATATAAATATGTTCTGGCTGATACCGCAAATTTGTATTTTATTTTATTCATAAATTATAATTTTATCATTCTGAGGCGTTATCAACAGCAACCTTTCTTATAAAGTTCTTTGGCTCGATTGTTATGAGAAATGATCATCTTTCATATTTAGGTATTTTCAATAAGCCAGACGCAAAAACGGAAAGTGACATGTCTAGTTGTTGACACTTTCATGATTTCAATTCAAAATTTTCAGTGAAGAGGGCGCTTAAGAGGCGCTCATCGCTAGAGTGTAGAAATTTAGTCTTTTATTGGTACTCCAAATCTAAAAGATATCTTGAGGCATATTCAAACAACCTCTCAGTATACCAAACTCAAAGATGTGGGGGTTATTGGAATTTTGTATAACTCGTGCAATAGAATTACTACAAAATGCTTATGGTTTTCTCAACTATATTTCGTTGGTAGATTTTTTCGCTTGAGTCGGTCACTTGTATTCACTAGAAAATTTGTGAGATAAAATATGCTTAAAAATTTTTAAAGCCTAAAATACAAATTATTTTAAACTATTGGTTATTATCGGGTGGTGTTTTTACCACAAGCACGCACGCCAAAAAGTCGTTGAATTAGTTTCATGTCATTCATGTGTTGCAGCAGTCGAATGTTTTCTACTTTTACATATATTTGACAAAACTAATACCTGCAAGGCTACATTTTATTTAAAGTTGTAATGAGGAACGGTATCAATCAAAATCGATTTTTATTTCAATAATAGAAATTCTTCAATGTGAAACTAAAAATCGGCGTATACCCTTAACCCCAAATTATGGTTTTGGATAAAATATAGATTGTACAATAAAATTATACTTTTCGATTATTTAAAAAAAAAACTATGAAACACTGATTCAAGTATTCATCTCCTAAAAATGGAGATTTCGTTAATAATCGCTATTAACTATACTTACGTTAAAAGTTTACCATAGAAGGCTATAAATACCGTACCTTCGTTAAAGTTGCATTAATCAAATTTTCAAAATAAACATCATTGCAAAAATTATGTTGAAAATATCATTTGTTAAAAGTCATTATAACACCAAGAATTTTTCATATTTGAGAAAAACATGTACAATATATATGAATAAGCCGCGAATCATTTGATTGATTCGGTCCATTGTCATAAAATCATTTAATTTACAAAAAATTAACATTTTTATGAACTTTTAAGTTTGATTTATATCGAGTATAGTTTAGTTTCAGCAATTAACTCAGTTGCAGTCGTACAACATTTTCTTTCTATAGTAGTAATATAATGTACCTTCGTTGCCTTCTTTGCTTTGGACGTTGGCAGTTTATTACTGTTTATTTACGGGTGCCAGCGCCGTTTCAAAATCATTCCAATCGTTACATTTTATATCAACCAGCCTGTTGCACTAGAAGTCGCAAGGACTATTCTATTCCCAAATTATGAATTACCAATCACAATATCTGTCGTCGATTTCCATAGAAATCAGCAACATCGTCGGTTCGTGATAATATTAGATGATCAAGAAAAGTGTGTGAATAAGTTTCTGGTTGACGTTCTTTTCTGTTTTCTTTTAATCCAATAACTTTTTTTATTTGAAAAGTTTCTTTTATATTTAAATCACCAGACCGAAAACTTAAGCTTCGTTTTCGCCTGCTGCTGTGCTTTGAAATGTAGGCTTTGGGCTTGTTAGATTTGCTGGACTTGACTGTGAACTTCCGTACCTGGCGAAATTTGAAGCCTATTTAATTTTAGAATATATATAATACTATGGTGGCGCATGTGAGATAATGCGTCGTGCATAATAACGGAACTCAATAAGAAATGGGTAAAACAAGAAGTGTTGAAGGACATATTGTAGCCAGTAGTTTTATTAACATTTTGAAATCGTTGATATAAGAAGCGGATGGTGTATATAATTAGGTTATTTTTAGTGTAGCTGTCACAAAATGATAGTTGTGGAGAAGGCGTGAAATTGACAGATTTTATACTATTTTTACTCAACGTTTGTAAATCTAAATATATTTACAACAATATAATATAGATTGCTATTAGATGAGGTAAATTACTCACCACTTGATAAATCCAGTTTTCGTAAGCTTGTACATCTGTATAGATCCCGGGTGTTTGCTTTCGGCCACATCCGACACCCCACGAGACAATTCCCGCCACATACCAAGAGCCATTTTCAAGTTGGCAAGCTAATGGTCCACCACTGTCACCCTGTTTCAAATATATTTATGTTGTATTTTCAAACTATTTTGAATAACTTAAATTTCGCACTTCTGGCAGAATACGATATTGCATGTACTCACTTTGCAAGTATCCATGTTTCCTCTAAACCAGTCTCCACCGCAAATATGTTGACCTTGTACGTATTTGTCTGGGTATCTTGCGCGACAATACCATTTATTCACCACAGGCATGGGGACTTCTTGGAGACTCAAAGCGTATCGTGTACCATTCTCAGCTGTTAATAACAAATGTTTACGTAAACGATAGTCACGTTTTCAAAATCGAACTAAAGTAAAAATCGGTTACATGTTGTTCCCCAACCCGCCGTGTAGCAGCGATTCCAACCTGGCTGAACTGTTCGTTTCCCTGGAAGACAGATTGGCCGAACATATTCCGTGTATTTGAAAGGTTGTGAAAGTTGTATGAGAGCAATATCGTTGATGGCAGAAACTTTGTAGTCACGAAAGTCTGGGAAATAATAAATATACTTTGTTTCAACATTTTAATGGAAATTGCTTGAATGTTATTGCGTCAATGACGAACTAAACATATCTATCTCGATGGATATTGGGAAAGTGCATCCATTATTGCATACAGGCGCACAGCCAAGATTTTCAAGGGGGGGGGGTCGAAATTGGAAATTCACATTTCCTTTTAAAACAGTGGCCGCGATTACTCTCTCGTTGGAAGAGCCGACTTTTCAGCATATAATGAATGACTTTTCTGTCCGTATAGTATTCAATCCAAGACAACTACGAGATTCTAAAATGTCCTATATATATATTAATTTAGTTGTGTCCAACGTATTTCGCAGTTGCGTCTTCTTACGTCAAAACAAAAATATCAGTACTCTAAAATACAACGGCAGTTTACGGGCATAAAAAGATCGAATTCATTATCGACGTTAGGAAATCTCAAGATCTGATATAAAATCCGGTAGAGTACTATTTCATTTATTATAATAAAAATACATATAAAGTATATCAGTAAATCACAAATACATATTTATCGCGGAATGATTTTTCTGTTGTGCTAAGTAATCAATCCATGACCGATGCTGGCATATTTAAAAAGTCTGATTTATTAATTCAATTGTATTTAATCTAACCTGTGGTTGCGTCGACAAAATAAAAGAATCATTACTCCAAAACACCACGGCAATTGGCGGACATAAAAATGTGTGGTAAAATTCCTAACTATATCTTGTTTCGATCCGTATTTTTGCCATTTTGTGAATACGACAAATTTGAGCTGTACCTGCAACACTGACTCCGCTTTATCGCAATGTTGCCACTCAGATTATTGTTAAGATAAAACCGTTAAAAAAACTATAAAATCTCACGAAGGAAAATTTATTTTAGTACAATAAAAATTGATTGCATATACTTCATCACGAACCGAAAAAAAGTCGCGTTCCCAACCTTGTATAATGTTACCAATAAAATGTTCCATGGTAATTTAAAGTAATGGATAAAAAGATGAATCCCGCGCACAATTGACTGTGTTTCGATTTTAGTGACGGTATGGTTCCCAACGCCGACCAAACATAATGTGGGGGTGCAGAGACACGAAATTCTGCGATTTACAATGCCTAGAGGAGCGTTTTTAATCTGTCGCGAGTCTCCTACAACAAATTGTTTACGTTTTATCTCTAGTGTTTTATATTGCCGCTTTTCAATCTAAAAATTTGCGTCGCCGATTCACTCCTTCATTTGTTTTTAGCATCGTGCCGCCGATAAATGTATATTAACTTTCAAAGGATTCACAATTCTGTGCGAGTTCAAAAGAAATTTATTATCATCGTTGTCGTGGCACAATTTATGTGATTTAGGGTGAATAAACACCAACGTAAAAGTGTTTACGGCCTAAATACCACGTCACGCTGACGAAAACCATCGGCTATTTTAGCAAAATGCAAATAAACGCGTAATTGGCGACTTCAGTTTTTCAAAAATTTTAATAAAAGGGCGGTTGACCCCCCCCCCAAAAAAATAATCTGGCTGCGCCACTGGAATCGTATCCATAGCTGATATATAAGTAAGCTCGATACCTTTATGATAAATGAATCGTTTCACCGATGATGTCTGCCAATTCCCTTTCTTCTGTTCCTCTTCACTTCTTGTGTGCATACCTGCTGTAACACGCCATTGTTTTGGAGGATGCTTAGGGAATGTGTTTGGCTTTCTGAAAATGTAAAATTAGATTATGTTTCAATACAATTAGTACTATACCATCTAGATAACTATTATTAGTAAATTACTCCGTAGAAGCAATTATATCAACAATTAAATATTCTACTTTGCGTGAAATATGACAAGTGAAATTCCTTCATATCTTCCATGAAAATATGCGGATTTCTCAAGTCTTATTAATATTTTGCATAAATTTTTCTAAAATCTCACCCTGGAATATCGAGACAATGTGCAGCCGTTAATACCCATTGTGAATGTAGTAGTGTACCACCGCAAATATGTCCACTTCTGGTACCTGTTGTTCCTCGCATTGGTTTGCCAAAATTAAGGCTTACCTGTATCAAAAAGAGAAAATCACGCTCGGTTCAATACGGCTTCAATGTTTTTTACCATTCCGAATATTTTTGTTATTCTGGATCACGTACAGGGAATATAAGAACGAAAAACTTTCATTAATCGATCAACACAGTTTTTTTTTAATTCGAAGGAGTACAACTTACCACCCACGGCCATGCACGTCGCTCAGTTTTATATCCTCCGACTACTCTTATATTTGGCGGAACTGCTGTTCGACCACAATCTGAAAATATGATAATCGAGTTTTGTAATAAATTGTGGAAATGCCACTGTATGAAAAATAATATATATACAAACTCACCCATTCCAAACGTAAAATTTATTCCGTAAAGAAAGTAAATGGAAACGGCTAAATATGTTTTATCCAACACCATGTCGCTTGTCACTGTCAAAGGATTCACGTAATGATTATGCTGTATGAGTTTGAAGGTTAATATTTAAAACACAAAGACCGCTTCGTCCCACACAGCACAAGTTCCTATTGCAATCAAATCTTTTTTTTCTTTTTACTTCCTGTCTCGGAAATTTGTGTAACCAGTACTAGAGTTAGTGAAAAATGGCGACTGTGAAACACTAAATTGAAAAAATCAATTTTGAAAACGTCACATATAAGAAATGAATATTTACTAAAAACGCGATTGTGGTGTAATTTACTTACTACAGCAGTTTCGCGGATATTGTACAGATGGTATCGACTAATTATTTATCTAAGTCACCATAATGCGTTTAGCGTATGAAATAAATATTCACGACTGATAATTTTGCTTCTAACTCAATTTTCATATAAACAAAAGTGGTTATGCGTCTCAAGTATACAATGCAGTCATTTTTCTTCTCATAATAATTTTATTAAAATAAAAGTAAAGATGTCAATCATTTCATTTATAGAACGAATTAATGAATAGACATACGCAAGTTATTCGACATTTATTGTCTAATGATAGTGCTTGAGAAGATTATTATGGATGAGAAACTAACTCCATGATGTTTAGAAAATATACTATCACACGATTTATTTTTATAAGTAAGAAGATTCTAAGTAATTACATTTTTGTATGTAACAAATAATTTGATCGGATTAATGTCCAAACAATGAAATTGAATAAATTAGAATTTATTGAACAACAAGTGTAAAGATCATCTTTAAGTAAACCACGAAGTATCTATATACTCGAAGCAACAACTCGTAAATAAGATATTTCACAAAGTGCTCAAAGCTACAAATAAAATTCATCGAAATTGTTTTCGTACACCCCAAGGCATTCGCAGATATCCTTGACGCTGAAGTCAAGAAACATACAGCCTGAAGTTTGTAATCAAAGCTGACTGGGTCTTATCAATTATAAGCTTCTTTATGTCCAAAAGAAATTCGAAATATTTTACCCTACTTTATTTACTTTTGCCTCAATTTTTTTTTTAATTTATAAAATAAACACAAATCCGACATAAATATAAAATATGCTGAAAATGTCATATTAAAGTACACGGTAAATATGTGACAAGCTTTTATCGTAGGATGTTATATAGAGAAAAATATTTAAAAAGCAATTGCAAATATCAAGTAACACAAACTTCTGAGTCCTCCTCGGCAAATTCCTGATATCTAGTATATATATATTGACTGCAGAACCACCTTAGCGTAACCAAATCTGGCATCAGGTAATACGTCGGGAAACGATGAATTCAAATTGAAATAGATTTCATGTGTTGATGAAAGCGGTCTGGCAATGAACGAGAAAATTTTAAATACCGGAACGACAGTGGAGTTATTAAGTCGAGGATGCGGATTTAACTACACGCCATAATGGTACGTTAGAAAAGTGCGGTAATTCCGCGGCAGCAATCCGTAGAACATAATTAAATGTCTTTAAAGGATGTCTAAGTGTGACAAATACCTTATTTTCATTAGATAATAATTATTACCTTAAAATTACTCTTGCGTGCGTGACATACCAAGTTAATTACCAAGTTGTTCAAACTAATCCTCACTTGAGTTTAATTCCAGCCAAACAATCGAATACATGTTTAACAATGGTTATTTCGTTTCGGAAAAACAAAATTTTTTCCAACGTTTTGAGTTACAAACGAGATTAATTTGTGATAATGATCATATGCTTCAAGTTTCTTGAAACACGCAATACTTATATTCATTCCCCAAATAATTCCTATGGCACTTTCGTATCGAAACTAAGTTAGAGTTACTTATGAAATTCGTGATACGGCAAAAATTTTAACAAAAATATTTTAATTTATTTATCGTTGCATGGCGCTATGTGAAACCGCGAGTAATGACTAATTTCAACTTATGCAGGAAATCGTTATAACATTTATCAAATACGTGATGAATTTGGATATATATACTTCGTACGTGTCAACATATACACCAATGAAATTTGCCATTTGTACTGACTGTGTGAGCAGGTACAGAAAACACTGGTTGGATGAGTTATCTTCCACACAATATCGTGGCATTTTACTTGCTGAAAATTATTGCTTATTCCCCATAACAGGCGGGTTCTTCCATACGGTATTCGCTTAATAATTCTTATAATATTGTGATTACAAACTAATTGCAATGATTGTTACTGCCATTGTATCTTGACCACGTGCACTCCTGGTACCTTAGTAAACATTATAATCAGTTGCTCTGACACACTTCATCAATAACAAGAAGATAATTTCAACCAGGTAAAATTGTTGTTTTTCCAAATTGAATCTGTTTACTGCACTTTCAGAATTCTTAAAATACATTTAGTGACATGTGAAAGCTACAAGTGCCTATTTTAAAATAAATCTCTCCAAGCACGCTCTCTTTGCTAGAGGTTATTTCTCATTACTGACATATTAGTCGTAGCCGAGCACGTTGCAAGCGAATTGCACAAAAAAATATTACAAAATATGAATATAGGGTTCAAATAAAACTCTACTGAGATAACATCGTAATTTTCTGATAGTTCACGACCAACTAAAACATAGGATTAAAAAACGTACTTTCGGGTTTTGTTTTGGTATATATATATATATATATATATACTCATGTTTGGCATCTTAGTAGTCAAAGTGCAAGCAAAAAAATTGCCCGAGTTTAGTCCACACTCGGTCGCGACCGTTAAACGGATTATCGACAGAAACTTGAAATTGAGATAAGCAACTTCCGATATTATCAATAGTATCTTTTATCTTTTTAAAAATCACATCATGATTAACGTAAAATATGCCAATATTGTTTACTACGTAACCTCACATTTGAAACACTCCTAGGATTTAGCTTAATTCATCTTGTTAGGATAGTGTATATCGAGACGTATAAATAAGCGACCAATATAACTTGTCAAATTTTGGGATGAGTTTTGTTTAAAAAACAAACATTCATGTTCACTGTATACAAATTCGCTTATTCATTACTAATATTTATGAATGAAATGTTTTATTGAAAGTATAATTACGTTACTGTAGGCAGTTATTTTAATACCAAAATCAGTTTAAACGTGAAAAACATCTTGATATATATATATATATGACTGGTGGTTACAAGACAAAGATATATTCGTATATATAAATGCAACTACTTTTATTAGTTATCACCAACTTTCCATTAGATGTAATTTTTCACGAATGAATGTATATCTTCCATTTATATTTCCAATAAAATACTCTGCAATCACTGATTGAAGTCAACAAACACTTCTCTAGTACTATACTTAGCATAGTATACGTAATAGGAAAGTGCCACAGATTCGCCATTTACAGCTGCCTTCATTTGAAATCGTCCTATGAAGTTTCTCGAATTACGAAATGCCAGACAAATTTCTATTGTCTGCGTCGGCAATCAATGAAAGGCCACTTTGACCACTGACGTACATAAGACTTCCTCACAGTGTAACCATGGAACAAAACAAATTGATTCGATATATTGAACATTGATAAATGGCGTACTTTTTTTTTAAGGTTAAACAGCGAAATCAAATATCACCACTGCTGACCTCATCCAGCGAGACAAAACATCTCTTATATCCTGAAGAATTTTTGATTCCATTGCCATTGTATAAAGAATTGTGTAGTTAAGTTTAGTCACTCAAACGACTGGTGGGATTTTATTCAAATAGTTTGAGACGTTACTGCCATTTTTTGTGACAAAAACACATCAAATTTTCTATATTGAATTTTTATGTCCAAACTAAGTTTACAGAAAGGGAAAGCGTGTTTCAAAATAGCATTGGCCATACGTGCTGATTCGAACAATCATATTATTCTCATGGAGGACATACCAATATTAGCATATCCAATCTATTTTCGCGTCTTGGACTCGTCGAATGTGTTTACTAGAGGTATTTCTCTTTAATCTGTGAATTTCGATCGCATAACGTATCAGAATTTCAAGATTGTGATCTAATTACATGAAGTGTTAACCTCAGTTCAGACTAATATTTGCGAGCCTTGATGCGGTTGCGTTATACCGATAAGAAGTTTGGATGTCGAAACGATTAGAAATTCAATCCGAGATTTTTCAAGTGTTAAAGACCGCTTATCACTTCCTTATTCGGCGTTTGTGCGACATGAAAATATTTTTGAAAATATCTTAAGATAAAGGATTACAGATAACCCTCAAAACATTAATGTTAGCTGTTTAGTTGTGACTTTATATTGTAATTATCTTGGCATTGACAGTAAATTTAACTCGAATGGGAAGTGTAGATTGTAACACCACACCAAACTATTCAAAATATGGAAGAAATTCAAAATATTCCGTGACACACTTGCATCAGCAGCTGATTTCATCACCAAATTTTGAAATTTAAGACGGGATAACGGTTTTCGATTGTTACGAGATACTTCGTAAATGTATTTCTAAGAGTCGCTAGATCGGGTTCAAATGATAAATTTAACTGCTAGGCCATCACGGCGAAGTGAACATTTGCTGGTCGATTGTTTTTAACCTCTGGCAGCAAAACAGCCGAACAAAACTAGAATGCAAATCAACGCGATTCTCTGGATAAGCATGAATAACTCGGCCACATTTCTCGACAGCAATAATCACATTTTGGAAGCTTTTTCGTTTTCATTCTACGATACAAAAGAGAATAAATTATACAGACATAAATGGGTGTGAAGCGCAATGTTAGCAATTCGCGTCGTCATTGAATTGATCATCGAAAACTCCACATGGTGGCGCAACAAATTAAAACAGCAAATTTTCGGTTGAACATCGAAGAGTTCCGACGGTATTGCAACCACGCTCGCAGAAAGCAGCGCTTCTCGTTTATCCATCATTGTTTATTCCAAACGGCTCCCAAACTTTTCTTGCTATGAGCCGCTTATGGACAGATTCTGTAGCTGCATACCACCCAACAATTAGTTTTTGACTACTGGACATATGAAGCAACAAGGGATGTGTAGCGTTTCGTATCGCAGGGATTTGACAAGTTCTACTAATAAGTTAAAGGCTCGGTCCTTCCGAGCAGTGGCGCAGCCAGGGGGGGAGGGGGTATTCTTTGTGTGCCACGATAATCAGTTTTTTTTCTCGCAGAACCGTGCCTTCGGTGAGAGAAACGCCTTACTACGCAAGCATCGGCGATTC